ATTGTGTATGACGATTAGACTAATACTTTATCTTAACGGAGATACTATAAAATATTATAGTCCTACGAAAAGTATAAAGTGAATCTGCCGCTTCTAACATGGATTATTTTACTTATTCGTCATCTGTAAATGGTTTTTATTTTTAGCTAGCAAATGCGCTATTTATATGTTGCAATCGTAGCTCCTTTATGTTGTTGCAGCGTTTTAGTAAAAAAACTTTGCTGTTTAGTCATTGAAAATGTTAAGGAATTTTTTAACTTTCCGTAGGGTAAGTTATTGTAATAGGCCGAAAATCAAAATTGAAAATTTTTACATTCTCGACGTTTTGAAGGTTTCTGAACGTTTTGGCATACCTCAAAAAAATGGACGTGTGTGTGTGTGTATCTATGTATGGATACAAATTTCCAGTCACGTTTTCGGGCGCACGGATCAACCGATTTGAATGGTTCAAAAAACATTCGATTCCTATTTTTGGCAAAGGCAGGTCCAACCGTTTTGAAGATACGGAGCAAAAAGTGCAGAAATAGAAATCGACTTTTTGAGAGAACGGAGTATCCGATTTGAATGATCTAAAAACATTCAATTACCCAGACAGCACAAGACATGCCAGGGAATGTCCCACTTGTCCTCACAATCTCCTAATATCGCGATATCCTATGAATATCCTATGAATATGCAACGGGACGTCTCAAAACCAAAGGACTCGAGCAGGTATAACGCAGGGTTCACGAACATGTCGCTCTCGTACGCGCACGGCTGAGACCTCTAATCCTCTAAAACGTATATGTTTGTCCCTTTCTTTCGTCGCGTCGGTTTGCGCCCTTTAAGAAGGTAGCGTCATCAAACAGACGATATATATGTGGAATTATCATAGTTTTTGAGTAATTGAGTAATAATAGTGAAAATTTTATTTGTTTTATATAATTATATGAGCGTGTGTTATAAATAATTAATATTATTTATGAAAATACTCTAAAATTGAGTAATAATAGTGGAAATTTTATGTGTTCTATATAATTATATGTGCGTGTGTGTTATAAATATTGCAGCAACATATTGAAAGGGGGGCAGATATAAACGATGGTAATTAAAGCTTTCTGTGTACTGTTATTTGAAATACTATGTACTAGTACAAATAGAATTTTTAATTTAATGCTGACATTTCCACCCTGCCAGCTTATCCAGCAGCCATGCCTAATTTTGTATCAAATGCTGTGTTTGAAAGAGAATTAACAAAGAAGAAATGCTCTCCACTATGTTTGTTGGAGGAGCTTCAACTTATGGATGAGGCATTCTTCTGAGCAAAGATATCAAAAATACAATTGGTAATCAAAAGTTTATATAAATTTATTTTTATTTGTTAACTTTATCATATACTAAACAAACTTTCTCTTATATTCTGTATTAGCCATCAGAGTCCAGCTATGAAAATCCATTTTTGATGATGGTTTGGACAAAGAATTTTGCTAGGGACGAGGAAAGGGCAAAAATAAATTTTGTGATCTAGTGCCTTGCGATGTCATCACAGGTAATTTATATATCTTATACTTATGATGTGTTGTAAATTATGAATTAAACTAATATATAATTAATTCCAGGAATTGCTTTGAAAAATTTGCCGCATGAGACATAGTTTACTGTTTCAGAGGCTGCAAAAAGCTGGCTGCGACGTGCCAATAAATATTATACAAGGTATTTTTGTGAGATGTGTACTATATGTTTTCCTATTTACAAAAAAATCATGATTATTGACTGGTTAGTTGTATCAATGTTAGTGCAAAATTTGTGCTGTGTACACATTTTTAGATGTAAAAAACCAAGTTTAATATTCACTCATAATGACATCAAATTGTGTCGATATATTTGGAATTAGAGATTATTTTATAAATCTCTGTCTATTTTGATTGATGTATCGCTCTTAAAGAACTTACTCATATTATATACATATATATGCATTTATTCATTTGTTTTCTATTTCAGGAGAGAAAATCAACCATGAACTAGGATTGAATGCCGAATTAATTATATTTTTAATACTGTAAAATAAGTTATTTTGAATTAAAGTTGTATATATTAAATTTTGTTATAAAATTATCTCAGGATTTTGTTATTTTGTAATAAAAGTTTACTTTGTGAAATTGTATTCTTTTATTTTATTTTTAATCCAAATTTATTTTTCATCTAAAAAGTAAAAAACAATTCCATAATTATATCCTATTCATGTCCGGTTTATGTCCGGAATATCCCGCGCGGGATATCCTACAGAACGTCCCATAGGTGCGACATATTAACATGTTTCGGATAAGATCAGGATAAGCGGGATATCCGTAAGGCTATCGCAGGGACAATGAATGTCCGCGCGTGGATATCCTGTGGACGTTTTCCAGGATGTCTTGTGTTGTCTGGGTAGTAATGATTGGGACAAGTGTTTATTAGTTTTTGGCAAAGGTAGGGCCCAGCCATTTCGAAGATAAATATGTAAAAAATGGAAGTTTTTGAAAGAAGTAAGCGTCCGATTTAAATGATTCAAAAAACTTTCTGCTTGTCTTAACAAAATAATTGATATTGTAAAAAAAATTTTTTTGTTTTTTTTTAACTTTTTTTTTTTCAAAAAAATTTTTTTTGAATATCGAAAATAATTCAGATTTTATTTTAATTCTGACTATAGTTCTAATATACTTTAAACAAATAATTTCAACTTTGCAATTCAGTTATATAATTCTTATAAATATTAGACAATGTTACAATATTAATAATATCTATTGAAAACATTCAGTATTCTTCGAACATTTCGTTACGGTACGAGAAGTTCCAGCAATTTGCCTTAAGGCACAATGCCATACACCCCACTTAGTTTTCTTCTAATTTCAGAGTTTATTGGATAGTCACTATCAAAATTGAATGGACGGTTTTAAAATGTCGTTTAATACTTTTCTTTAGAATCGCAACACCCTTATTACACAATAAACAAATATACTTCCCTTTATTATCAACAAAACAATAAAGATTAATTCATTAATCGTTAAAATAATATGTTATTCTTGTACATTCATGATTAATTTGAATTATTTGATGTTTTTAAAAACACTGTCACTGGACTCCGTGGTATATCATGTGAAAAATACTTCGCACGGACTATTCCATCCCCAAAAATAGCACACGTTCTTAGACGAGATCTAGCACATCTATGCTGCGTCTCCACTGTTACGAATCCGTGCGGCGAATGGTGCGTCACGAACAAATTTGCGCAGCGGAGTGATACTGTGCGAACGCACGAATTTCCTTCAAATTTGTCCACTGCGCATGTCCATAGCGCACTTTTTTCTTCTTTTTTGTTTGAAAATGGAAGGGGGGGTTTATTTTTAGAATCACGTACCCTGCCGAACATGGTCGAAGCGACACGAAAATTTCAATAGCTTGCGTTCGCGGCGCTCGCTCCCGCCGCGAGCAACCCGACGCATCGGGCTGCGAGAATACCCGAACCGATACTAATGGATTAGCGTCAAAGCGTGGATCAAAAATGTAAGTAAGCAGTCATTAAAATTGATGTACTAATTATAATTTTATCTAACTATTAGTATAGGAAATACATCGGTAATTAAGTTATAGATATGTTGGAATATATGTATATCCAACTAAAATATATTTTGGTAGACTTTATTTATCATATTTCAGAGTTAATTTTATATCATCATGATATTATCATGTATATATATATATATATATATATATATATATATAATAATATATATATATATATATAATACATATATATATATTATATATATATGTATTATATATATATATATATATATATATATATATATACTCTTACTACTTATATGACGTATCATATATTTATAACTAAAAATAAATTAAATGTTTCAAAAAAAAATGGTAATATTGTAATATTTGCAATTACGCTAAATATCATTTAAAATCTTATTAATATGCAGACTGAATTTTTGCTCAAAGTCTTTTCTGACAAGTATTTATATTTAGAACAGAAGTAATAATTTTTATTCAAAACTGATAATTGTTGGTCAGCCTGCATTCTGTATTCGTATCCGTTATTTCTTTGAACTTGTACGTAAACGTTGATCTGTGCTACGGTATAAGTTCAATTGTACAGTGAAGGCATTGAGATATTTCATCTTATCCTCAATTTTGAAAATGGATATGCGTAGAGAAGATGTTATACTTCTTTACACTTCTTATAATTGAACTGTATCAAGAAAAAAAATATTATGGAATCCTAAAAATTTCAAATGTATCAAATTGCTCGCAGTGTACGTCGCGCACAAGAGCCAACGCATGCGTGCGTCGCGAACAGATTCGCCGCACGGATTCGTGCAGTGGAGACGCAGCATAAAGTCCATAACAAAGCGGCGTTTCATTTATTTTCACTATCGACCACGTGCTTCTTAGTCGCCAGAGCAATAAAGGACCAGAACAGGAGTCGTGGAATTAAACCGCTATGTCTATCATACTTTTACATTAACTGAGGGCGCATTCAAAGTTGATCGGGGGCGCCATGGCGCCCGCGGGCTCGCGTTGCCAACCTCTGCCTTAAGGCAAACTGCATGAACTCCCCGAAATGTAGTAATAATCGACTGAATCTATAAGAAATGAACATATAAATTTATACGTATACCGAGAGTTAGTGTAGGGCATTATAATGTGAGAAACTATTGCAGACTATTCAATTTTGAACTTTTTTTTTATTACACGAAAAAAATTCTAACACCAAGGCCAAATTATTCAAATTTTAATTTATTTTTATATAATTAACTCATATTAAATTTAATATATATTTAACTATTGCAAAGAATTTGAAAATAAAAAAAATAGTTTGGGCTATAAACATGTTACAATTATCAGCACGAACGTCACCAGAAGAATTGAAGTAATTGCGGAGAATTTGGAGGCAAAAAAATTAGCAAATGAGGAAGCTCATCAGTTCAGGCTAATGGATTCTAGGATTGGGGCATAGATAAAAGAAGAGTATATGAACTGGGGACTCTGAATATATTCCCGATTATAACAAATAGATTAAAAAGACGGACACTCATAAGTTTCACACTAAATTATATGTATTTATAAATTATATTGTACACGTGTTTATAATTAGGTATTACTAAATCTATGTAATATATATGCTACTAATTAGTATCGATATTACATAGATTTAGTAATACCTTCTTACGAATACCTTCTTAAGAAAATAAAGTTATAAAAAATCTTTTATTTTTTCAAAATTTTATACCCGATACTAATTAGTATCATATATATTACATAGATTTAGTAATACCTTCTTACGAATACCTTCTTAAGAAAATAAAGTTATAAAAAATCTTTTAATTTTTTCAAAATTTTATACCGATGCGCCGTCTCAAATTTAGTATTGCGCCCTTGAAGGCAACATGTTGCCGACCCCTGCCTTAAGGCAAAATGCCACTTACAACTAGTAAGTTTGATGCAGCAACAAAAAAAATAAACAAACAAAAGAGTCTTTAGATCATTAATATCTTATATCCATTCTCATGTTGTTTATTTAAGTTTTATATGTTTATTTATGAATGTTTAATTTTAGGTTAGATCTACACTGAAACGCTGATATCGATAATTAAAAGTGTGAAGTCCAAAGTACCTTTCAAAATAGATTGTTTTGCAAATTCATTCTTACAAAGCCGCTTGTTTAATTCCAAAATTGTATTTTTGATCAGTAAATGCATCTAGTTTAAACATTAAGCCAAAGATATCATTTGTCATACTGAAGAAAATTAACGTTCAAATTATTTCAATTTATATTCTCGTACTTTCATTCAATGAAACTTCTAAATGCGATTTTCAATATATCTAGAACAATGCACTCAACAAGTAATAAAGTTTACTGCAACAGGTTAACTGGAAAAGTAGCAGTTGTAACTGCTTCCACTGATGGGTATTTATATAGACAATTTTCTTCCATAAATCATTTATATATATATATATATATATATATATATATATATATATATATATATTATAGGATAGGATTTGCAATAGCAAAGCGTTTAGGAGTTGAAGGAGCTAAAGTAGTAGTGAGTAGTCGCAAATCTAAAAATGTAGAATCAGCTGTATCTACTTTGTTAAAGGAAGGCCTTGATGCACATGGTGTAGTTTGTCATGTTTCAAAAGCAGAAGATAGAAAAGCACTTTACGACCAAGCAGTACAAAAATATGGGGGTATTGATATATTAGTTTCTAATGCTGCTGTTAATCCAACAGTTGGGCATGTATTGCAAGTAAGAGATGTTTATAAAATGATACCATAATTTATTCAGAGGTTTGATTTGATGATCAGTTGTCACTTTGCCTCATTGTCTTTAAATAATTATTGGTGGTTATAAACATTATGTTCATAAATTTTTAGTGCGATGAACAATCTTGGGATAAAATATTTGATGTGAATGTAAAATCATCATTCTTGCTAGCTAAAGAAGTCTTACCATATCTTCGAAAGAGAGGAGGTGGTAGCATTGTATTTGTATCTTCAATTGCTGGTCTTCAACCATTTCCAGTAAGACATTCAATCAAGATGAATCTAAGAAAGCTTATTATAAACAATAAATTAAAAAATATATTATAGATTTTGGGTGCATATTCTGTGAGTAAAACTGCTCTGTTTGGTTTAACTAAAGCTGCTAGTCATGATCTTGCTTCAGAAAACATTCGTGTAAATTGTATTGCTCCTGGCATTGTAAAGACTAAATTTTCCAGTGCTGTAAGTATTTTTATATTTATTATTAAAAAAAAACGGAATTTGTGTAACACTACTTTCTGTAGTTACATGAGAGTGAAACTGCAAAAGAAGCAGCTTTGATGAATGTTCCCATGAGAAGGTATTTTTGAAATCTTTCAGAAAATTATATGATTTGGTAGAGTGGATATATCTATATAGTAATTTTACAGACTCGCAGATCCATCAGAGATGTCTGGAGTAGTTGCTTTTCTGGTGTCAGACGATGCTAGTTATATTACAGGTGAAACATTAGTGGCTGCAGGTGGTATGCCATCACGACTTTAATTGGAATTTTAAATATTTTACTCTAATTTTGGATTTTATAAACTGCTTGGGTATATTGGATATATGAATTAACAATTCTAGCAATGTGAGAAAAACTGAATTAGCTTATGGTGGTAATACATAAACACAGCTACTCTATAATTGTATATAAGCTGCATCAGCTATTCTATAATTTTGTATAATAAACCATTTGGAAAAATGAGGCCTAATTTTATATTTAATTACAATTGAAACTAAATTGTTTTTTCTTATGGTTTATTCATGATTGTACGCTTTTTCATAATTAAACATAAAACAGCTCTCATTTAAATGTGTGCAGAGCTAATATTATGTATTCAGTAATTTATTAAGTCTTATGAAACTTAATAATCTAAATATTCTAAATATTTTTTTTATCTTTAATACCTTAATATTCTAAATTAAATATTTGCAATATTTTTTTTAATAAGGTGAAATTTTATATAAAAATAATAGAATTTAAGTTATTTTAAATAAATAAAATTATCCAACCATTGTTCGTTTTCTACCTCTTGCTCTCACTTCTTCATACTTTTCTAAAACACTAGCAGCAGCTGCTTTGTTGGAAGATTTTCTGTATGATTGTAGAATATTATTCCTCAGAACTTCACCAACATCACTATGAGTACTCAGTAATGCCCTTTCCAGAACATATAAATCTACTCCTTTATCTTCTGAAGATGTATCAATATGAGATAATCCAAAATCAATCAGTATTAAATTTGAATTTTTTAAAGAAATGCTATCAGACCAGTCCTTCAATTCTGGATTACTTGGCACAAGAAGAATATTAGAGCTCGTAAGATCACCATGAATGATATTTGCTATATGAAGCTTTGCAACCAATGCACCAATTTGATTTCCTAAAACATAGCACAAAAATGTGGGATGATATAAATTTAAATTGTAATTACTCAATATAACGCACTAAGAAAGTAAATTTAATGGCAAGTTTGATGCTTAAATTATAAGATGCTTCACTGAAACTTTGTTTTTTAGATTCAGACTTTGTTTGAAAGATTCAGAGTTTGTAAATTAATAAATTATTTGGCGAAATTGGAATAGTGTTGGGAAAAAATATATGAGAGCATACTTTTAGAAGACATAAACTAACCGACTAGCATCTTAGTACAGAAAATAATGGAGATAATGATAAAAAGAGTTAAGTATTATGATTAATACAAAGTTGTTAAATACATTGAAGCAATTATTACCTAGTGCTTGCAGTTCTTGTGCATTATCCTTACAGTATTTAGATATATATTCTTTCAATGTGATATTTTGTTCGAAATATTGCATTATAATAATGCGTCTTTCAAAATCGACCATGTAAATAGCAGGTGTTCTAATTCCAGCTGATTTGGATCGAACAATTAATTTTGCCTCAGATTTCATTCTTTCCTTAGTTAATATATCGTCTAAATCTGGATGTCTGTAAGATTTTTTAAACCTTTCCTTGACTAATACATGTTTTCCTAAGTATATGCCATGATAAATTCTTCCTTCGGCTCCTTGTTTAATTAATTTGAAACTATCGTCTAACATATTATTAATAATCTGTTTCTGTAAAGTAAATATATATTTATATTTTAGGTTATACAACCTTAACCTAAAGATGTTTTAAAAATGACAGAATCGAAATTCGAATACATACTGTCATCATAAATAAAGATTTTCGCGGTAAGTTTAAAATGTAACGGAAAATCTAACTGCCGTAATTCAAATTTTATAGTTAACATAACGCACATGGTTATAACTATTTCATATTTATTGTTAATAATTAATATTATAAAAATCGTTTTTAACATTGTACGTGCATATATTTATTTCGTTTCCGAGTCCCGATTTGAGCCTTTTTCAGTGAGCAACTAAGAAGAAAAACAATGTTTAAAAAATTATAAAACAGTCAACAATAAATATTAACTGCAAAAAGGTAAACTAATCTTGAAGAAATTACAGAATACAAATAAATATATTAAAAAACTATCAGTGTCTTATAAATTTGATATATGTAATGTTCTATTATTTTTATACTGTATATAATCTATATAATGTAAAATATATTTTACAGTTGTGTGCACTGGAGAAAGGGTCAAATTGGGACTCGAAACGTATGGAAGTTATCAAAAAAAATTGAACATATTTTAGGTTCAATTTTAATAACTCGATATATAATAAATATTTAAAAATATACATAACAATCAACAAAAAATATTAATTACAAATAAGATAAAAAGTTAAGAAAATTGCAGAAAACAGTTAGAAAAATTGTAAAACTAACAATGGACATATATATATATATATATATATATATATAATTATATATATTAATTTTATATATTAATTTTATATTATGTTTTGAAGTTGTCCAGAAAAAAAGTCAATTTTAAATTAAATTTGGACTTAAAACTTGTTGAAGTTCATCAAAAAAATGTTTTAAATTATTATATAAATATTTAAAAAGAACTATCAACCGGTATTTTGCAGTTATTCAATACATAAGAATCAAGTTTCTGACTTAAAAATGTATGAAAGTTTATCAAAAAATGATTTAAAAGTTTTATTTTTAATAACTGGACTTATACTAAATATTTGAACATTTTTAGAACAATCAACAAAATATATTAATTACATAAAATGAAAAGTTAAATAAACTACAGATTAGAATTAAAAAAATAAATGGACTAAATGAATTTATTATATTAATTTTCTATTTTGTAATTGTCTGAAGAAGGAGAATTAAATTGGGACTTAAAACTGATGGAAATTATAATACGTACGTATGTTGAAAATATATCGAAATTAAGTTCATTTTAACTTAACGTTAATATAAAATAAACTTAATTTTGATATATTTTTAACAACTGAATAAAAAAACATAATAAATAATGAATATTTAAAAATTTATAGAATAATCGATAATATTTACTACAATAATATAAAATGTTAATATGTCAACGGGTAACCTAAATTTACACAAAAATATTTATATTAATTTTATGTTATATTTTGTTGTTGTCCACTGAAGATGAGTCAAATTGGCACTTAAAACTTATGGAAGTTTATCAAATAAATGTTTAAAACATAATTTTATTTACAACTGGATGTATAATAAATATTTAAACTAGTTGGTTTGGTACTTAGCCTTGAGGCAAGTTACATGAACTTCCCGATATGTGTAAATAATCGATTTAATCAATAAAAAATATTTATTTTATTTCTTCGTAATTTTAAGTAATTAAAATTACGAGTAATTAATTACAAGAAACGGCTCGGTAGATTTTCACCTAAAACTAATCAGTATTATTCCCAACTAATATCTTTCGAACAGTTTTTGATTTTTTAAAATCGGTTCGGTAGGATGAGCTTAAATGTGGACGAAAAGTTTAACACTTTTTTTCAAATTATAAAGAAACGGCTTGGCAGATCGTCGCACAAAACTGACAAACGATAGTCCTCACCGAAATGCATCAAATGGCTTTTAAATTTCTGAAATCGGTTAAGGCGTTTTTTGAGAAAACGTCGATCAAAGATTTCATTTTGACAAATGTCAATAAAACGATACCAATTTTTGCAAACTTTGACGATTTTTTAAAGTTAAACGAGTTGTCGTAGGGCCGTAATATTTTAGTATGACCTAGAAAACTATGGTATCTACCGTCAAAAAAAAATCATAAAAATCGTCGAAATTTTTTTTTTTAAACTTTATTACAAGAAAACCCGGCCCGGCCGATCTTTACCAAAAACTAATCAGCACGATTCCCAACCAATATCTATCGAATGGTTTTTGAATTTTCAGAATCGATTCAGAATTGCGGGCTAAAACGTGGACGAAAAATTTTTCACTTTTCTGCAATTTACAAAGAAACGGCCCGGCCGATCGCCGCACAAAAACGATAGTCCTCAGAAACGATAGTCCTCATCGAGATACATCGAATGGCTTTTAAATTTTTGAAATCGGTCCAGCCGTTTTGGAGAAAACGTCGATTTACGGCAAAAGATCTGTTCACACACACACACACATACTTTTCCCAAATTTGATTTCATTCGATTCAGAATGGCTAGAAACGTCGAGAAAACATAAAATTAGCGAATCGGATTTTTTGATGAAAACATAAACTTCTCCTTCGGGAAGTTAAAAATTGATAAAAAAATCTACAAAAAATATTAATTACAATAATATAAAATGTTAATAATATGTCAATGGGTAATATCATGCTCTATACTTGTATTTATGGGTACATAAACATAAATTTATACAAAAATTTTCATATTAATTTTATATTTTGTAATAGTCACCGAAGAAAAGTCAAATTTAATATCAAATTAAATTCCTAAAACTTATGGAAGCTTATTAAAAAAATGTTTTAAACATATCTCTTTAATAACTGGATGGTTGCCAAAAAAATACATCATTTTTGCTTATTATTTTTCACTTTTCAATATATATATATATATATATATATATATATATATTATAATTTTTATAGTTTATCAGAAGTTTTTTGGAGCACATAGATGCACGTCCGAGGTTGTCTTGTTATTTTAAAATTTCCCCTGCCAGAGCCACTACAATAAATCTGTTTAAAACTAATACGCTTTTCCCGAAAACACACCTAACTTCAGTCTTCTTGCATCAATAAATCACTACTAATGACAATAGTATCAGTGAGTTTTGTTTCAAAATATTGACTGTTTTCCAAATTATTTGAATTAAATTCAACATGTCAGCGCAAGATCAACTATTCAGTGATGAATTGATACTATATCATCACAGATATAGTTATTATTCTCAAAAGGTAAAATGTAATTGATAAAAATTATCTTTGCAATTGTTATTGAACGGGATTTCATCATGTGATTTGTGGTCATCACATGTTGAGGTGCGTAGAATGTGGGTTACAGCTCATTAGATGATGGTCATTACATATAGAGTACTATATTTATATTTATATTTGTATTAATGCCGACACAGAATTAGTTTTGTTTAAATAAAAAAATACAATAATATAAACGATCTCAAGCCTAATAATAAAAGTATGTTATAAAATTGATTATAATTTAATTAAATAATTAAATTAATAATAACATTACGAATAGCTTGGTACGTCATAAGACATGAAATAGAATTTTCAGGAAAAATGTAGACAAATCCATTTTTATTTATTTTATTTTATTTTATTTTATACGCCTATGAGATAAATGAGATTAATATAATAATATATTTAATTTATTTCTTGTAAAATTGATTTTTTAACTTAATTTACTTTTTTATCTACTATTTTTTCTTGTTAACACCTTTGTCAGATTAAAGGCTCAGATGGTTCTTTTAACCCCACCCACTGAAAAGTTTCATAAAAGTCATATATAAAAAAACCGTTGAATCTAACTTAAAAATAACAATACATTTATAACACATTTAAATAACGTAGCCTGAAAAACTATATTAAGGTTTCGTAAACTAAAACAACAGAGTTCACAGCCAAAGAAACTAACAACGAAATAAAATACTTTTGTTATGGATTTTCCAAATTTGTCATGACAAATGCATTTATTTTGCGATATCAACGTCGTAAGAACCAAGGTGATGGCTTATCATACATCTTTTCCCTCTACTTTCAAATTGTTTTATTAAACATTTTTTAACTTTACTTGCTTTTGAGATATCGATCGTGAATTTTTTATCCTGCGGACCTTTAAGCATCTTTATACTTTATATCTAGTAGCTGAAGAGCGTCATAATGTGAGAAACTATAGCAGATTATTCATCAATTTTGAAGTATATTTTTGATTACACGTTATTCAAAATCGAACACTTAAATAATAAATTAAATAATACATATGAAGAGTATTTTCTAAAAATCCAAATTGTCATTAATGTTTATATTTTGTATGACTATATGATATTTGAGAATGTTAATTAAGACCAGGTACTTTATTGACATATAAATAAGTTTCATTAGAATGGTTATAAAAAGTTTTTAACAATCAATAACGAAGACACGGCCTGACCAAAACTACTCAGGTTTTGTCAAAAACTAATCAGGGCACTTTACAATAAATTTTTAAAATCGATGTAAGGCTTTTGATCAAAATGTGAACGCTTTTCTGCTTATTTTAAAAAATACGGCTTAGCCAATTCCCAATTGTACCAAATAACTAACCAACGCGAGTACATATCAAGTTTCATAAAAATACTTTGAAATTTTTGGAATCGGTTTGGCCATATTGGAGAAAACGTCGACGAAAGGTTAAAAATCGCTTCATATACGCATACACATACTTTTTCCAAATTTGGTCTCATTTAATTCAGAATGACCGAAAACGTCAAAATACATAAAATTAGCAATTCGTATTTTTCGCGAAAACAAACAAAGATAGTATAAGCGCGCTGCCCATTATTCTAATCCAAATTAAAAATGGCTATTAAGTGTTATAATAATTTTATTCAACAATTTTGTCAAAATCTTGAACCAATTTTGAAAAGTAGAAAAGTCCTTAAGAAATGTTAGTTTGGAATCATATTGATTAGTTTTTGTAATAATAGGCTGAGCCGATTTTTCGTAACTAATTTCTCACGATTTTAATAAAATTATGCATATCAATAGTGATAGTGTTCATGGTTCAAACGAATATCCTAAAATATTTTGATGCTACCATATACTTTAATTATAATAAATCGGTAAAGTTTCGGTAATAAATATTATTTTCGTAATCAAAAGTTGAACATTTTATCGTCACAATTTTAAAAGCTGCTAAATATTAATACTCATTGAGAAGTCGATTATTTCTACATATCAGAAAGTTCATGTAACTTACCTTAAGACAAAATTTTAATTCGATGTTTTATTTTTAATATTATTGGAGTAAATAATCGTCTATATCTTTATTTGCACATTTTTAATAATAAAGTACATATTTTAGCAACAATATACATTAACTATTATTCAATTACACAGGTTCTTCTAGCCCTTCATGAAAAAGGGCTACCATTTGTATCAAAACCTGTGGATATGGCTCGTGGTGATCAGTACAAACCATGGTTTTTAAAACTTAGTCCTAAAGGAGAAGTCCCGATTTTAGTTTATAAAGGACAAGTGACTTCTGGGTCAGTGAGAATTTTAAATCAGCTTGAAAATATTGGTGCAGGAAAAGGTAGAAAAATTGGAAAAGATTAAATATCAAAATACGACGTAGATTTTTTAAACGGTTCAATAATCATAATATCTGATGAAGATAACGCATAAGTGTAATTGATTTTATTCGATTGTATTTTAGATAAAATTCAAACTCTTTTACCAAAGGATTCAGAAGCATATGAAACAATTCAACATTTTCGCCATTTAATCGATTTAGTCCCAGTAGGAGCTGTGACTATGGCTTCCTTTTTACATAGAGATTATATTATAGACGCCAAACCTCCATTTAATGAGCGAGTGAGAGATTTACTTCTAAGTAAGTTTTGAGCATATTTTGATAACAAAATATATTTTTACTTAATAATTACATTATTATTATACATTGGAATAAGTTCATACTAGACTTAGATGGTAAGAACAGTAAAGCAACATATATTAACATATTTTCATATTTCAATCAGATACTAAATTTTAAAAATAGATATCTTGCAAAACATGTACTTTATGCGTCCAGTCTATAAGAAATATGCATAATACCCGAAGGCAGGTCCAAGATGTGAAAGCAACCATCAATGATTCCCTGTCTCTTCCTCGCCTACCATTCCTATTAACAGTATTCCCCCTTTTTATACATTTTTTATTTATTTTTCTTCCCAAAATTCTGCTTCCATGCTTCCTGATCTTGCGCTTCGGCTTTCAGTTCCCTGTTTTTTATCTCTTCGCGTAAGTCGTCAATCATCTGCATTCTTATTTTCTCATTCCTCTCAGTTTTTCTATTTTACCTTTGACTAAGTCGTGTAGGAGGCACTCTTTTTATAGAATGGGTCCGATCCAGTTTCCTTTTCTTTTCAAGATCGTACTCAGTAGAGTCTTTCCTTTGTCCTCTCTTATCAGAATTTCTTCATTCGATTTGTCCACTTAATCTTTCGTCTTTCGCACCTCATTTTAAAACACTCCAGGTATAGTTTATGTCGGCTTTTCTTAGAATTCATGTCTGCATTTATTATATGCATATTTTACATAAGTCATTCATTTTGAAAGTGACTTAAGTCCATTATCTTTAATTTAAAATGCTTAAATTAAAGCAATAAACAGCATAAATTTTTTGCGGTTTTTCAAAATTAAAAATATACGTAAGATATATGGTTGACTCGCAATGTTAAATCGCATTTGAAGGGTTGAATTTTTTTTTTTTTTTTTTTTTTTTTTATATATATATACATTATTTTCATATCTCAGTCAGGCAGAGTTGCCTGGTATGAGAGATTATGAAAACAGTTTTCATATAATATATACATTTCATTTGACTATAATAATCTATTTCATTAATATAATATCTATATATAACTAAAAATATCTTTATATATCACTCTTCAGTCTTCTTGGTCTTCAATTTCCTTATAGTGTTTTTTTATTTTTCTTTTAAATTTATCGTCATCTTTGGTCATCTTAATATTGTTTGGCAATTCGTTATATGTTTTGCTGGCACTCCATATGACATTTTCTCTGAAATTCTTCTTTCTATTGTGTTCAATGTGAAAATTGTTGTGTTGTCTAGTATAGTGTTCATGTATATCTTGATTTATGTCTATTGTTGTGCTTGTTTTAATTCGGTTAAATTTCATTTTGTGTATTAGTTTGCATTTCTCTATTTTAATTATGTTATTTAGTGAAAGATTATTTGTTTCTCTCTGTAAGTATTTGGTGGGTGTCAGATGTGGAAAATTGTATGCTATTTTGGTGGCTTTATTCATTATTGTCTGTATGTCATTTAAGTTAGCTTTAGTTGTTTGGCTCCATGTTGTTATTCCATATAAAATTATAGGTAGTATTTGTGTTTTAAGAATTAGTATTTTATTTTTTTTGCCGAAAGAGTGGATCCTTTTCAATGCCCCTGTTAATGTTCCAATTTTTCTTTTTATTTTGTTTATATGTTCTGTTCATGTCAGTTTTTCATTTATTATCAGTCCTAAGTATTTTATGCTTTCCACTTCTTCTATTTCTCTATTATTTACTTTAATATTTAGTTTAGTGTTCTCAGTATTTTTTTTATGTTTGAAATATATGTATTTTGTTTTATTGATGTTAATTCTTAGTTTATTTTTAGTTAGCCAGTCGGTGTATGTTTTCATGTCCGTGTTTATTGTATCTTCAAGCCTTTTTTTGTCCTTATCTGCATATACTATAGCAGTATCGTCTGCATATAGTATGTATCTGCCCTTTAATTTTACATCTTTTAGGTTGTTGGTATATAGCAGATATAATAAAGGACCTAAAACAGAACCTTGTGGGACTCCACAAGTTATGCTACGACCCCCACTTGTAAAATTTCCCACCTTCGTCCTTACCACCCTTTCCACTAGAAAATCTTTAATTATGTTGTAATACAAACCTACTACACCCAAATCTATTAATTTATTGAGCAATATGCCATGATCTACAGTGTCAAAAGCTTTTTGTAAGTCAATAAAATTGCAGCTGTATGCATATTTTCCTCAAGGTGCTGACTGATGGTATTGGTCAAATCTATTAGGGCACCTTGAGTATTTGATGAAGGGAGGAAACCATATTGATGTTTATCTATTTTTGAATGAGTAAATTTAGTAGTCTTTCTTTAATTATTTTTTCATATATTTTGGAGAATGTATTAGTTATTGTAATTGGTCTGTAATTATTTGGATCTGTTTTGTTTCCTGTTTTAAAAATTGGTTTTATTGTGGCTGTTTTGAGGCACGAAGGAAAAATACCCCTTTTTATGCAGTTATTGATTAAAAAAGTGAGTAGAGGAGCTATTTGATAAATTATTTTTTTATAATTCTTGCTGTTATTTATCTTCTCCAGGTGCAGCGTTGTTTTCAGGTTTTCCACAATTTTTATTATTTCTTTTTCATTGTTAGTTCAAAATTTTGTTTTTTGTTTTCAGGTCTAGATATTGATGATATGTAGTTGCATTGATCTAGTTTTTCTTGTAGTTTTGTTCCTATTTCAGCAAAATGTTTATTGAGATACTCCGCAATGTTTTCCTTTTCCGTAAGAAATATGTTTTTATCTTGATGTTTATTTTTTTTAATACTGTCTTTATATTCATTTTTATTATTTCCCCCCCTTAATGATTTGTTTATTAGCTCCCAGATTTTCCGAGGAATTTTATACATCATATTGAAAATTCGCTATTATTATGTCTGTGATATTAGCTTTCTTGCCTTAAATGGACTTTAGGTTACTTTGAAAATAAAAATTTGTTCTGTTACAAAAAGATAGATAGCTTAAGGGAGTCTTCCTATGTGACGGCCTGTTTTTTAGGGATATTTTAGGATTTTTTTCTACGGCCAGTAAATATTTAGAGCTTCAAGTTTTTTATCATTTATTAACACATATTTGGACAGTATAAATATAAAATTTCAGCTAAAAATATTCAGTCAAACTAGAGTTACAGCGCTCTGAACACCCCCGCCTCGAAAAAAAGAGCTCCCACTTCCTCCACGATTCCGGCTGATCGGCTTATCTGAAAAAAAAAAAATAAACGGCGTTTTAATTTGTAGGCTTAAAAGCACGGAATGACCTATAATCAAATGAATATAAAAAAATTGATTTTTGATAGACATTTGAAATAAAAGTTGCAAATTAGGCGTTTTTTTTATTTTTTGCTATAAAAAAATCGAAGTTTTGAAAATTTTATATTGAGTGTGCCCTGTAAATTTCAAGTAATTCGGTCCAGCCGTTTCTGAGATACAATGGAGGAAAGTTTGAAAAACACAGTTTTGAGAAAAACGCGTTTAAAGTTTCAACTGCCAACTCAGCGCTCCGAACCGCTCTTTCTTTTACCTGCTGTATCTTTAAAACGACTTCGAATTTTCTAAAATCGCTTTACTACCGTTTTCTAGACATGTTAAGGGAGCAATTTATGACAAAAAAAATCGATTTTTTCAACCCATCACATAGGAAGACCCCCTTAAGTCTGTTACATATAGCTTAAAAAAAATAGAATATTTTGTATATATATTTATAAATATATATATATATGTATATATTTAGATAATAAGTTTATTAACTGTCGGTATTTTAGTGATGCGATGCTTATTATCCTTTTATATAACGATGACAATACAAAATTCCCAAATTTTTTACGACTACTCCGACGCGCCTATAAATCACGAATTTTAAAATCTGTGTTCTCATCCATGATTGCTTAGTACAAAATTCTATATGGTTCATTTCTTAAAAATTGCATCCTGCATACTTGAGTTTCATTGTAAACTGTTTCTTTCAAGAAACTTTTTTTATTGAAACGTTTCTTTATTGATATAAAATTTTCTTGTCTCATTTTTTTAATATAAAAGTATTATATTTTCTACATTTTTAATTATAATAATTTTATGGCATATATAATAATTGTTTTTTTACATTTCTATATAGCTAAAATCTCACATCATTAGGTGAAAATGAATTCCTTGATTAAAAATCAAGAATTCTTGTTATTTCATCTTTTCATTTATATAATTTCCGATCGCACCATAACATCTTTGACCTCGCGCCTGATAAGGGCTTAGGCTGGACAGAATCGTCAGGCATATTGCATATACCCTTTTAAAGTCGCTTAGACAAACACATATATAAATTTTAATTTTTTAACTTTATCGGACCAATTTTTTTTAATGCATATATAAATACCTTCCTCATAAAAGCGTACCTTTAGAATAGTCTGGCAGGTACTTGTGCAGCTTGAAATCGTTTGGCAATCTGATTTTTAAAATTCTCCGTAAAAAATAAAATCTTATAAAAACTTGAAGTTTACGAGAACAAGTTTAATTTTCGTTTTTTTGCATTCTTAAACAATTGGTCGATGATGATGAACAAGACAAACCTGCCAGATGATGGTTTTTGTACTTAGCATGCTAAGAATCAACAGTACAAAATATTTTAGCCTTACAGAAACACCGGTATTCAAAAAATTCAATACCCTTTGGTCCAATAAGAGTATCAAAACAAAATAACATTAATCTTGACTTAAATGTGATTGCTGATAATGTCTTCAATTTTGAATAAATAATGTCTAGTTTAACATATATTATAATTTAGCATTTATTAAAAAAATGTTAAGAGAATATTGTGAATTATAGACGCTGCAGGAAATTCAAGCAGCGCCTTGCGAGAGCGCGCACGAAACGTGGATGAGCAGGAATCCTCCTTATTATTGAAAAAGGCAGAAGCGCAGGAGCGGATGAGAGCAAAATTAGGAACGCCTGAACAATTCGAAGCACTTCTGAAACAAATTGATCTCGTACTGCAACAAATTGAACATCAACTTGCTGTTAACATAGGTTGGTTCATTTGACCAATAAATATTTATTGATCATAATTATCTACCTGTCACTTTTCATTATTAGTTCCGTTCAGGGTATATACATAAATTTTTAACTAATAATAATAATAATACATTTTCAATTGCATACATATAGCAATTTAAATATAATGTTATCGTCGGTTTGCTGTTGTCGAACTATATCAAAAAAAGTCAAAAAATATATATTTCAATAAATATAGGTATGTACATTATATTTACTATGGATTTTTAACTTCCCGAAGGAAAAGTTTATGTTTTCATAAAAAAAATCCGGTTCGCTAATTTTGTTTCTCGACGTTTCAAGCCATTCTGAATCGAATGAGACCAAATTTGGAAAAATTATGTGTGTGTGTGTGCGTGCGCACGAGCAGATTTTTTGCCGAAAATCGACGTTTTCTCAAAAACGGCTGGTCTGATTTCTAAAATTTAAAAGCCATTCGATGTATCTGAATAAGGATTAGCGTTTATCAATTTTACGCGACGATCAGCCAAGCCGTTTCTTTGTAAATAGCAGAGAAGTGAAAAATTTTTTGTCCACGTTTTCGGAAAAAAGTGTTAAACTTTCGTCCACAATTAAGCTCATACTACAGAATCGATTTTCACAAATCGAAAACTGTTCGAAAGATATTAGTTGGGAATGATACTGATTAGTTTTAGGTGAAAATCTACCGAGCCCTTTCCTTGTAATTAACTGTTGAAAAAAATTTAAGTCGATTTTTATGGAACTTTTTTTGACGATATATATCATGGCCTTATAGAACTTACTGAAATATTACTGCCTTAGGACAGGTAGTTTAATTTTAAAAATTCATCAAATTTTGAAAAAATAAGTAGTTTTTTTTGACGTTTGTTAAAATTAAAATTAGACGATTTACTTGGTATAACGAAAGAGTACTTGGTCTTAACGAACATACTAAACCATTAAAGTCCTACGGAAACTGGTTTAATTATAAAAATTATTGATTTGTGAAAATTTGCTTTTAGAAAATACTCCGAGTTCCCGTGTTCGCGTTTCCAAATATCATAATTAAAATTCAAATATCAAATATCATAAATTAATTAATTTTTTTTTGATTAAGTCGATTATTTTAACATATCGGGAAGTTCATGTAACTTGCCTCAAGGCAAAATACCAATACCAACTAGTTTTTTTGCTGTTTTTTTAAAAATTAGGAAAATTTAGGAAAAAATTGTCGACAAAAAAAGTTTCTTTAAAAATTCAGAAGCTAAAAGGGTAAAAAAGAACGCAGTACCATTCTGATAACTTATTTTGTAAATTAGTAATTTATTTTTGTAAATGTCTTAATTATGGTAAAATACATCTAAATTTATATGACCATATTTTAATCTTCGCATTATATGGAATACCGCTTTTTGCATAATGAACTTTCACCCGGAACAAATTAAGTACGTTATGCGAGGTATCATTGATGTATAGTAATTTTTGCACATGTTCTGAAATGGACATTATGTAAAACTGTAGGAAAAAAAGACTTTAAAAATACATAATCTTCTGACCATTTATCAAACCAAACCTTCATACCTTCACAGTTCACACCATGAATTCCAGACTGGTAATGGGTTGGCGTTTTTTTTTGCAAATGGGTTAGCATGATCCTCGAGGCGGCTTTGCAATTGTCTGAATGTGTTCAATGGTTTATTGTGTTAATGTCGGCGTCTTTATGTATTAACCAATTCTGCACATGCTTTGGGGCATTCAAAATTCCTTTAGTAATGTATTAACTTCCCGTAGTAAAATCGAAAATGATTTTTTTTATATATCTTTACGTTTCAAAGGTTTTTGAACATTTTGGCATACCTTAGAAAAAATGGATGTATGTGTCTGTGTGTTTGTGTGTGTGTGTGCGGATACAAATTTTCAATGATTTTGGGAACGCCGATCAACCGATTTGAATAATTCAAAAAACATTCGATTCGTATTGATAAGGAGACGTGCTGATTAGTTTTTAAATAAGGCAAAAAGTCAACGATACGTGGTGTTCCCAAGCGGTCTCCCATCTAAGTACTACCCACGCCCGATGTTGCTTGACTTCGGTGATCGGACGAGAACCGGTATATTCAACATGGTATGATCGTTGACGACAAGTAAAAACTGAAAATCAGATATAAGTATGAACTTCTAAACGCAACCAGCTTGTAGTTATTATTAATCCGTGATGGGGGTAGTGTCTATTCATGCAAAATAACTTAAATATATTTTGAATAATTTGATATTAAAGGATACAATAAAAATCATTTTTTTTAAATAAATCAAATTTTTTTTTAATAAGAATTACTAACAAAACGCATAGAACTTTTTATATTTTTTTTATCAATGTTTGTATAAAATTTTGTACATTTTCCTCCTATAGGCAAAAATATCGCCTATAGCGTGTCTATTTCAAGTTGAGTCTTGTCACATATGTCACATAGTATGTAAACATATATTTAAAGCACTTGTGCCAGGCCATCAGAAATTTCGCAATTTTTAACTACGATATTTTAACCCTCCTTTAGATTTTTGCATTTGGATATTTTTTTGTGATGTATAGTTTCATATAAGTATAAAGTAGTGGGGTGGGTGGCATCGTGCCTTAAGGCAAATTGCTGGAACTTCCCGTACCGTAACAAAATGTTCGAGGAATATTGAATGTTTTCAAATAGATTATTATAAATATTGTAACATTGTCTAATATTTATAAGAATTATATAAACTGAATTGCAAATATTGTAACATTGTCTAATATTTATAAGAATATATAAACTGAATTGCACAGTTGAAATTATTAGATACATTAGAACTATAGTCAGAATTAAAAATAAAATCTGAATTATTTTCGATATACAAAAAAAAAAATTTAACAATTTTTTTTTTCAAAATCAATTATTTTGTTAAGACAAGCAGAAAGTTCTTTGAATCAATTGAATCGGACGCTTAGTTCTCTCAAAAACTGCCATTTTTTGTACATTTAGCTCTGTATCTCCGAAATGGCTGGGCCTGCCTTTGCAAAAAACTAATAACCCCTTCTCACAATCATTACTAATTGAATGTTTTTAGATCATTCAAATCGGATGCTCCGTTCTCTCAAAAACTCGATTTCTATTTCTGCACTCTTTGCTCCTTATCTCCGTAACGCTGGACCTGCCTTTTCCAAAAACTAATCAGCAACATCTCCTATCAATAGGAATCGAATGTTTTTTAAACCTCAAATCGGTTGATCCGTACGCCCGAAAACGTGGGCGAAAATTTGTATCCATACATACATACACACACACACACATACACCTCCATTCTTTCTGAAGTATGCCAAATGTTCAGAAAGCTTCAGACTACTCTACGGGAAGTTAATTATCAAATTTAATTTAATTTAATTTAACTAAGTTAAATGTTAACAAAATAAATAAATTTTGTTAACAAACTAGTGATGCATGACATCGTGCCTTAAGGCAAATTGCTGGTACTTTCCGTACCAAAAATTAAAATTTTTGAAAAACCTTTAAAATTTTTTGAAAACTATGAAAAAAATAAAATTTTTGAGGATTTTGAAATTTTAAAAAAATTTCAAATTTTTCAATTTTTTTTATACTTTGAATTTTTCTAAAAATTTTGAACTTTTTTTTTCCAAAGCAATCCAAACGCGTAAGCGTTGCATCGCAGTCTAACCAATAAACATTGGTACGCAATTGGTACGTACGTAACCCATAGAAATGTAAACAAAATTCATACTTATTATTAAAATTTCTATAAAATATCTGATAATTTGATATGCTTATATCTAATGATCATTTTCGACTGCCAAATGGCCTTTTTTCTTTTTTCATTCGATTTGTGAAACCGCTAGACCTGCCTTTGCAAAAATTTAAACAGTACTTCATTTTGTCAATACAAATAAAATGTTTTTTGAACTAATCAAATCGGACGCTTCGTTCTCTCTCAAAACCTGAATTAACGTTTTTAGATCTTTTTGCCGCGTATCTTCGAAACGGCTAGACCTGCCAGAAACTAATCAGTACGTCTCCTTATCAATACGAATCGAATGTTTTTTGAATTATTCAAATCGGTTAATCAGTGTTCCCGAAATCGTCGACGAAAATTTGTATCTGCACCCACACATATACAATCATTTTTTCTAAATAATAAGGTATACCAAAGTTATAAATCATTCATATTTTTTTAATTTCTGAAACGTAAAGATATACAAAAAATATTTTTGATTTACTATAACTTACTCTACGGAAAGTTAATAATAGCAAAAATTCAATTTTAATTAAAATTTTATTTAATTTTAATTAAATTTATAGGTTAACCTATAAAAACTTTTCAAAAATCAGAGACAAAATACTAGAGAACATCGTGCGAGCTCTTACATCTTATTAGGAAAAATTTGCAAAATTCTCAGAGAAACTTTATGCAGTAACTTTTAAGTTATAAATTAATTTATCCTTTTCTTTGTAATTGTATATCAAATCTTGTTCACAAAAATGGATACGATTAAATGGTGTTCGAGAAAGTGCCAAAAAGCTGTTTTCTCGAGATCGTTTTTTTATTGAAAAGTCAGAAATTGAATTCACTTGAATATTATAATTAGATTTTCTGCTATGAAGTTTAGTATCATTACACTTGATGTTTTAAAGATGAATTTAATATTTCAATTATTGTTTAGGTATAAATGAATTGCTGTGTAGCAAAACTTTCACTCTGGCTGATGTTAGTTTAACGATACTGCTGCACCGTCTGGACGCATTAGGATTGGGGCATAGATTCTGGTCAACAGATTTGAAGCCAAATTTAAACGCCTATTATCAGAAGGTTCAATCTCGCGAAGGATTTAAAAGAACTGTTCCAGATATGAAGTATCATCTATCAGCAGTTGCGCACAATGCTCCCACGTATATGTTGGCAGGCTTTGGAATATCCGTTACTGCGCTTGCAGTTCTTACCAGTCTGTCGGTTTACAAAGTGATGCAATGATTTAAATTATCATTAGAAATATTCTTACAGTTTGTTGGCAAATATTTATTATTAAATTTAAATATTCGATTAATCTATATGCCAAATGCCAAATTTTTAAATTGAGTTTAAAATTATTTGATGTACATATAGACACAGTGGTTTATGAAGAGGCATTTATTTACTTTTAAAATTTCAATTGTATTAGAATACAGAACAATACATAAAAAATAGAAAATATTAGTTTTGCAATCCCAATATTTCCCTAGTGTAATATGTACCTTTTTCGACGTTGAAACATATTTGAAATAAATAGGCCGTCATCGAATTAAAAAAAGAATGAAAGAACATTTTTTTATTGATTATACGTTTTCGTTCGTCACTTGATGTTTGTTATCATTCAGCAAATCAAACCAGGAAAAAAACAAAAACTTAAAACACTAAATAGTAATTTAAAAAAACTATTTTTAAAATTTTAATAGAAAACACATAACTATAATAATTTAAACCAAAACATAAAAAAGTAGAAATAATGCCTCATATGCAAGAAGATACTTATCCATTGACAATCAAAACAGATGTCAACGGAACTAGAACCATCGGAATAAATAAGCCATTTTGTACACTCTGACTCCCCATTTCTCATTTTTCTCTATTATAATAGGTATCAATTTTTTTAACAGAACTCGCAGTTTTCTTAACGTCCCATTCAGCTGGTTCTTCTTAATTTTGGCTGTTGGCTGGCTATACAATTTCTTCCCTTCACGTTCAAATATTGTTGTTAAAATTTTTTTAACTCTACTCGTTTTTGATATATCGGTGATGGCCCTTTTTTCCTGCAAGACCTTTTAGTGCGCTACCCTATATGAGGTCTGGAGCATCTCGTGAATCTTATTCAAACCAACATGATAAACCACACATCGATATACGAAATTACGTTTGGTGGAATTTTATTGCTAACATCAAAGAAAAATGTTCTTGGAAATTACGATTAGATTATGTTTATTTATCCATGGATTAGACACAGTGGTGTTGTCAAGCCAGAACATCGTTTCGGCACTTCCGTTTTGGACCGGAACGTGTTCCGGCAAAAATAAATTTAAAAAAAACCGTACGGTCCTCATCTCTAGCGTAGTTCATTGCCATACCCAAATGGGCCTACGGCTTATGCTGATAGTTTTTATTATACATTAATGTACAAACAAATTTAATGAACTGAAATTTCCAGATGGTGGTTTCCATGGAAAATTTCCAATATTGCAGTATTGGAAGATATTTTAAACTTTATTAGTTTATTGTTTTAGTGATGCCAAACAAATGGCGATAAAAACGTGCAGATTTTCATCTGAAATGTATAGGTTCTGGTTCTGCTCCAGAGGATGTCGATCCACACTTCTGGTCTGGTCGTCTGCCTCGTAGATTATCAATAGAGCGATTAAGCGACCACTGGTAGATCCGTTGTCCCGATTGTTTTTAATCCTTCCAACTCCTATCCAAAGGAGTGCCTTGGGTCGAGCAGTAGATGTTAATTTAAATTGCTGGTTAAAGTAATGTCTTTTCGGAGTTGTGAGTTCTTCAACTTAGGTATTAGCTGAAAGATGCTTCTTCTATTTTACACTAACAAAATGAAAGGTCCAACTTTAATGACTTTGCAGTTTATTCTTCCTTCTTGTTACAAGTTTTCAGACTGACGGAATTTCCGCCTATTTCTATCATAAGATCTCTATATCTTATTGTTACTCTGATGTTACTTTCTGACACGCTGATTTTCTCCAAGCTACATCTTGTTGCTCTGATGTTACTTTTTGACTCTCCAACTTGTGTGGACGATCTATACTCTATTTATTATAGATAGCGGCGTGACATATGTGCGCATTCGCGCTTTGACCGTGTACTTTGATTGTTTATTAAAGTCGCACGAAATGCATTATTACTAGGCTTGCACCGAATATTCGGTTACTATTTGGTAAACGGCATATTTGGCACTTTTTTTAATATTCGGTCGAATATCGAATAGATAAAATCAAAGGCGCCGCCGTCGCTCAGCGACAAGATTGTTGGTGATTTATCGTTCATGCGATAAAGAGCTCGCGATGGATCTGTATATTTACATAATATGAAGAAATGATTTCGTTATTGCATATAGAATAATTTAAACTTTTGAGATTATAAATGAACACTATTTTATTGTTACATATTTATATTATTCAATATGAATCATTCAATGGTTACACACATGTGCTAAAACTGGCTCTTTATCGCAAAATATACAAACAATATTTTTGATCATTTTTTATTTATTTCATAATGATTAGCATCCATAAGAAATAATATTGAGTTTATAAAAGAAAATATTAAGTATTTATGAAAGAAATAATTCGAAATACATTTATATATAAGTGATAAGTATCGCCTTTTTAATGATTTTACCATTTATTTCTTTATCACATGTGGTATTCAAGTGTTCGGTATTCGGCCGACTAGTGTAAATGGTGCCAAATTTTCTAAATAGCAAAGAGTAGGCGAATAGTACTATTCGCCACTATATAGTGGTTGCAAGTCTAGGCATAAAACTTAAATAAACATGTAGCGCGCTAGTAATATATCAATTAATTGATATATTAGTAATTACTAATAGCAATTACATTAATACAAGCAATATTAGGAGCAAGAACCTGCCGAATATTCGGTATTCGGCATTTTGCCGAATATACTATTCGTTGCAAGTCTAATTATTACACAATAGTGCATTACAGGGAAATTCCCATTTTTGCAGTTTCCACATGCCCCACCCTTAGTGTAAGAATTTAAGAATTAAAAAAGAGACATGAGCTAAAAAAACATTGCCTTCAGGGGTTATCAGACAAAATTACCTTGAGATTTTTTATGTTTGATGTGAGTTGGCAGCAGATTGTGGTTTCCAGTATTGCAAACCTCTTCGATGTATTACAATGAATTAATATATGTTCAAATGTTTATAATAAGGAAAAACATATTTTGTGAAACAATCATTTAATCTGAATGAGATTTAGATAAATGCATCTTAAAGTTAACTTTATTTAGCTTAACACGAATCCACGAATCGACGTAGATTTCGTCATGATTTCGTATTATGGTGCGCCTGTTAATTTCTAAAAAGCTTAGCTCGTGAGGCTATCGGGGTACAGTTGACAACAAAAACATGCGTTCAAATTTTAAAGTATTATGTGGTATTATGCTAGAAGCAATTCTATTAATATAAATAACAATGAAAGTGACATATTATAAATTGTGATGTTGTACTTCTTGATATATATGAAACTGACAAATGACGTGCGCAATGTGTGGGATGTTCATTTGTTTTTCAATTTGATTGTTTTGTGAAATGTGATGTTCAGATGTTTATTGCAATATTTTCAATGTGATTTATTTTAGAACTAATAATGAAAGTCAAGTGTTTATTCACAACATGGAGCACATTGTAATCAAACGCAAGAAATTAACTAAAAAAAAGCCGCAGAATGGAAAAAGTGACCAACGATCAAAAAGGAAGCAGCATAAAAGTGCTTTTGAAAACCAAATCGTAAAATTTGGAATGAATCGAATTCATAATCCAAGTAAAATACAAACCGTTCATAAAAGAAAATCAATGATAAATGATAAAGAGAGATTAACTACAAATCAAGGTATATATGCGAAAAGTATATTTAGTAAAATTGCCCGTAAACATGATTTTAAATATGAAGAATTCAAAGGACGCATAAATTGCGACCTGCAAAAGATCTTGAAAGACAATTTTGTCAAAGAAACATCCCATCGCAAACATGACGATCTTCCAATAAAATATGATTTATCAACCATTGTGAGTGAGCAAGGAATTGAGAGTTGTAAGAGTCCGAATGCTATTTGTGGAATAACATATAATGATGTTGAATCAGTTCAAAGTATAAAGAATGTCGATGTTGAACCTAAAATTATGCTGCGTAGAAAACGAATGAAGGATATTGCAGCATTATCCACCTTTAACCAAAATAATGTTATTGAAAAAGCATTATTTCATGAAAATCCTATATGCACAACTTTTTTTTATTTATGCAACCCAAAAAGAAATAATAGGAATAAGAAGTCATCGTTTGGTTCAGATATAAATGTTCGATTTAAATTTTATCTTGATGGTATAATAAACACAGTAAGTGACCAATGCAAAAAATTAAACATTACAGTTTTAAGCGACACAATATCAACATTAAAAAATATTTATACACAAAGTCACTACTCAAGAGAAAGGCACCACAAATTAATTTTTGATTTTGATAGTGTACCGTCAATAAATAAAAAATTGAAAATCAAAGAAAAAAAATTTGACCCAAATGAATTTACAGTTGATACAATCACATGTATGAACCCATTAAATATGTTTTTATCTGAGAAAGAAAAAAATAATAAATATATGCATAAAGATAAGCAGTACAGTACCAGGAATTTTGAACCTAACATGCGGAGTAATTTATATAACTTTGATCATTATTCTTCAACTAATTATGGATTTGATTATTTTGAAGGAATTTCTAGGAGAAAACAAGTTACAAAATCTAAATTTTGTTTTGAGACTCCAGAATATCAATATCAGAAGATGAATTTATGATTTTGCGGACTTACTACTGAAAAGTTTAAAATAAATATGATTTATTATATGAACATTAACATACAAATAGTGAAATGGTGTCTTTTAATCTGTAGATACAGGTAGGTTGAAAACGTTGTTATGTTTAGCATTTTGTTATCAAAGAAATATTTTAGTTTGTGAACATTTGAACATAAATAAATAAAGATTTGTGTGAACTAATACATTTTATTTAAAATCAATCTTGTGTGATATATATATATATATATATATATATATATATATATATATTGCAAGTATATATATAAAATATTATTTAAGTTCTCCGCAATTCACTATTTTAACTTTCTGATTAGGAGTACCAGATTTGGTTCCACACCTTTCCATTTTTTTTATGATGTCCATACCACTAATGACTTGACCAAATACGACATGTTTCCCATCTAACCATTCAGTCCTGCAAATGTACAATTAAAATGAGTTATTTATATTCAATATTACTAAGAAATATAAAAAATAGTGTTTTGTCATATAAAAAAAACTATGTAAAAATTGATAATGAAATAAAATTTATAAGTTACACTGTTAATTATAAAGAAATGAATCAATCAATTTTTACATAAGACTATGTGTAATGAAATTTTAAAAAAGGAACTGTTATTTTTTAAACTTGCATTGTAAAATGTTCGGAATACCTAAAAGAATCAAAACAAATTTATTTTGAATAATATTGCTTACTTTTCAGTGCATATGAAAAATTGGCTTCCATTTGTGTTAGGCCCTGAGTTGGCCATAGACATTATTCCTGGGCCAGTGTGTTTAAGTGTGAAATTCTCATCAGCAAATTTTCGTCCATATATTGATTTTCCACCAGTACCATTATGATTTGTAAAATCACCTCCTTGGCACATAAATTCTGGTATAATTCTATGAAACACACTTCCTGCATAACCAAATCCCTGCTCACCAGTGCATAAACATCTGAAATTCTCAGCAGTTTTTGGAACAATATCTGCTCTAAGCAATATGATAATTCTTCCTACATTTTGATTGCCTATTTCAATTTCCAAATAAACTTGTGGATTTTTCTTTGCTTGTTCTTCTGGTTGGACATCATTATTAGTCTTTGATCCTGTTTCTGCTTCGGCTTCTGGTTTATCATCATTGTTCAATGTAGCCCCGGCATGTCTTTGAAGCCATGAGTCTTCTGACCATACTGGACGAGTACTACCTTCTTTTATTCGCTGGGGTTTTGCTAAGTTTACTCTTATTGTTCGACCAAATAATTCAGCATCATTCTACAATTGAATAAAACATTCAAGAACACAAAATAAATAAATAAATTATTTTCTACCTCAAATTTTCATTACTATTAAATTTCATTCGCTGAAGTATTAAAAGTTCCATAGCTTCATTTAAAAACAATATATAATGATATATATTTATATAAAATAGCAATAAAATTGTGTTACATGTAAAAGTGTGCACATACTTATGCATTATATTTATTTATATCTTGATGTAAATATAGTAAGATAGATTTATTAAATTTGAACTTATCATTACCATATTGTCTATAGCAGCTGCAGCATCTTCGGGGCTTTCAAATTCAATGAAAGCAAAACCTCTATGCTTTTCACTTTCATAATCGATTGGCATTTGAATATCAACTAAGTCACCAAATGGAATGAAAGCAGCATTTAGAACTTTTTCATCAACTTCTTCTGCTAAGCCTCCCACATAAATCGTCCTTTTAGCGTTTGAGGTCATAATATTAAAGTATGAACATACAATTCTATTTTTATGTCCAAATATTATTTGATTTTATTATATGTTAATTAATATTAAATGTATTATTTTTATTAACTAACTTAATTTACATACATATGGTTATCACTTCATTTTCATTTTTCGCATCTTTCACGTACAAATTCATTTTTATAGTTCGCCAAAAAAATGTTGTTTTTGTGCATATAACCTATAACTTTCATTTGGAATGAGCGCTGTGACACTCAATGCTGCCAACAAAAAATTGCTTTGGTACCACTGTTTACATTTCATTATATTCAGGAAGTCCTGTCTGTCACATCTATTTATTCTATTTTTTTATCTATGGTCGATATATGTCAAGCAATTATGTGAGGTTATGCATATGAAAAAGTGAATAAACCTTATTTCTTGTTTTTGAAGATATAAATTTATATTATTCAAAATGAATGCGCCCCCAACTTTCGAATCCTTTCTCTTATTCGAAGGCGAGAAAAAGTAAATGACGATATTTCAATAAGTTGTAGAAAAATAACCAAAGTACGAGAAATTATTATTTTTTTACTTTACAATTACAGAGTAATTCGAGAACAAGACACAAAAGTGCCTAATGCAGCTATTTTTACGGTCAATAAAGAAGATCATACTTTAGGAAATATGATTAGAGAGTATGAATATTTAATGTTTTTTTTTATTTTTTCACATTATTAATTTTTATTAATATAGTTATATTATATTCTATTGGTTTTTAGTCAATTATTGAAAGATCCTGATGTATTGTTTGCTGGATACAAAGTACCTCACCCCTTGGAACACAAATTTGTTTTGAGAATCCAAACTACTTCTGACTATTCTCCGCAAAAAGCTTTCATGAGCGCCATCACAGATTTGATAGCAGAATTGTCTTTATTTGAGGAAAGATTTAAGGTGATCTATATTTTTAATAAACCTATTTGTTGAATAATTATTAAATGATAAAGTGAATATATATGAACTTTTTCTATTTGCAGGAAGCAATTAAAGAAAAAAAGGAACATTTAGGAGAATAAGTTTTTTAGATGTAGTATATTATCCAGTTTTTCTATGTATAATTAATATTTTGTACTCATACTATAAATAAGTAATATGTGAATGAATTTTATTTAATCAATTTTATACACATTTTCAACCCGAGGGAATGTTCAATTTATACATTATAGGATTATATTTGATTAATGAACTATGTTGATATAGAAAAATTATGTCTATAATTTGAAGATCTAAATACATTTCTGAACTGTACTTTGTCATTAGTTCAGTGAGTTTAGCGTTAATTATTCCTTACTGTTATAATTGAGTTTTTTTAGAGAGTATTTTTTTCTTGTTTCACATTTTATTGCTGTTTTGGTTGAAAAATTATATGAATAATGAGTGAATGGCATTACTACAAAGAAATTAAATAAATATTGCTACTTTAAATTGACAATGAATTTGCTTCTTAGAATATGAATTCAATAATTAATTAATGTGTGGCATGGATTAATTGATAATGTACAACTTGTAGCATAAATTTTAAATTTTATCATCACAAGCTATGCAACTTGTTGAGACGAGTGTTAATTAATGTCTCTTAATAAAAAATTAATTTGAAACATTTTTAAACCAAAAATACAAATATTGCAAAAATTTTCATAACAACGAACAGCACAAATTTTTTGAGCGCGTAACAATTTTCTATGTTGGTCACATTTTAAATAGTTTTTTGTGTATTGTTAGCATTGAAATCATGCAATGTCAAATAACTGATCTTCAAGTTAATACTTTTTGTAGGTTATTTTAAATAATACATTGGTATTTTTTGCGTAGTACTAATTTTAAACTGATTCGCGTACAAAAGCGTAGTTTCAAATATGTATGCCAGAACGTTTAATGGATTTCTTCAAATCAAAAAGCTATTTGTCACTTCAATTGATATATCTAGAAACTATGCCAAACCCGCAGGTATTTTTTGGAATTATCGTATTATCCAATCTGGAAAAACTGTATTTGCTTTATAAGTTGATTTGAAAAAATTTCAGTCGTGGTTGCCAAGAAAAAAAAATCTGGACCCATTGTGGAGAAAAAAGTTTTACCAGTAGAAACGGATATCAATAGGTTACTCACATATGTTTGTGGAAGTAACATTATGAAAGAAGGAGAAGATGTAAAGGTAATCTATTAATAATTTTACTTTATCTCAATTTTAATCTTAGTTTATTGAACATAACATCACTAATTGAACTACCATATAAATACTTAATTGTGTTTATTAACAGAATTGACTTTATTCTTTTTTGCCTAAAGTGATGAATGACACAATACTATATCCTTAAAATTAAATAATAAATTTAATTATACATAATATTCATATATAATATACTTACATCCTAAAAGTTAGATTCCCATCTTATATAATAAAAACTTGCAAATAATTTTATAAAAAATGCAGATAAAACCTGATAATGAGTATCCTGATTGGCTATGGAATATTCATATAGGACCTCCTCTTACTTTAGAACAATTAGATCCAGAGTCAAAAAAATATTGGCTGAAAGTAAGGAAGATGGGTTTGAAGCGAAATAATCAACTTTCTAAAGTTAAGAAATTCTAATTTAGATTTAATGTAGTTAGACCATAATCAAATTGAAGTCATTAGATGTAACTTTAATATCAGATCATTTTTATCAGTGATATTTAGTTAAAATTAGTGGAAGGAAACAAATTTAAGTTTATCACAATGGAATAAAATAAATTATAGTTTAGCATAATAGAATAAAAGAAAACAATAATAAAATAAAATAAATTTATTGATTTATTTGTTTATAATATTAAAATAAAATATCAATATAGAATGATATTGCTCTCCACATATATTAAATCAATTCTTTATTATTTTTAAATGTAACAAGTTGTTTGAGAAGAAACATAATTGTAACTTAGTTCTTGATTTCACCTCTATTTGAACTATATATCCTTCAATATTATTTCAAGTATTTTATGTATAACATCACATCAATAGGCAAGTCTAATTGACGCAAAGCTAAATCAAATTGATGCTTTGAGTGAACAGTTTCGGATAATGCTTTTCGAATAAATGTTCTACATATGTGTTTAAGACTGAATTTATCTGACTCATTCAAAACAATTGGTTCTATAGCACAACTTTGTGATGCTAACCAGAATATTAGATCTTCAGAAGCATCTGTAAAAAATATAGTCAAAGCATAAGGAGAGCTTTGAACTGGGCATTCTATAAAAGGTATATCAATTCCAGCATCACTATAAGCTGAACCGTCTACAAAATGCACGTCAATTCCAGCATCACTCAAAGCTTGGACAAACTCTTTCACATGATTCAAGCTGTATCTATGATTTGATGCAATTTGAACAAATCCTGTAGTTTTCAAATGTTTATTCGAGTGTAAAATTTTAATTACCGTTTCCGAATCAGTACACCACATATTGAACAAAAATTGTACATAATATTGCAATTCACCACCAAGCAAAGGGTTTATGCCTTCTTCAAGTAATTTTTGGTAAATATCCATTTTATTGGCAAGTCTAGCATCCCATAAAGCAGTATGATTATCACATGATACATTCAAATTAGCTCCAGCTTTTATTAAAATATCTATAATTTTTAAATCACAAGAATAACTAGCTTCCATAATTGGATACGCACCACGGTAATTACTTATATTAACAATATCTTTATCAGCTTTCACTAACATTTCTATAATTTCTGATGAAATACCGGGTACGCAAGCCAAATGTAATGCGGTATCTCCACAAGAATTTTGAATTTTCACTGAACAACCTGCATCCAATAACAATATAACCATTTCATTATATCCCATTTGTACTGCATTATGTAAAGCAGTATCACCGCTGGAGTCTGTTTCATTTAAATCACAACTTTTGTCTATAGCTTCTATTAATGCATCGATATCATTTAATAACACTGCATCTAATGCACTCTGCAAATATACATTAATATACAATTTTAATGAAAATATTTAAAATATGAGCCCTTGAAAATAGAAATCTGTAAATTTCGAGTTGAAATTATTCACAAATAATTAAGAAATACAAGAAGGTATAACAATAATATGAAGCTCATTTATTTTATATGTGGTAATAAGATGATTTTATGATTTATATAGAAATTATTTCTTAAGATTTGAATTGAGTAATTTGAATAATGTAGCGAACTATATATGTTTGAAACTATAAATGATCATTCTAATTTTAAATATTGAATTTAATACTCACAGGTACAATATTCTTTGCACCAGCTTTTAAAAGTTCATTTACTATATCATTATTATTACTCCATCTTGCATGCCATAATGCAGTAAAATTTTCATTGTCAACCTTTTCAAGATCAGAGCCATATTCCAATAATAATTTCACAACATGAATATTTGAATATGCGCATGCTATCATGAGAGGGGTTTCTCCTCGCTTATTAATAGTATGCACAGAAGCGCCTCGATCCAATAATTCTTTAATAATCTTAAAAGTTAAAATTATAATTCAGATAGAGTGTCCGTTGAACTGAACTATCAAATAGTCTTTTTTACAAGTATAATGCATGATGTAAATTCAATTTAATAGAAATTGGTGTAACTATTTTCTTTGTACTTTGAATACTATCTAGAAAATTGCACAAAAATTTTTAGTTGGATGTGTAACATCAATATTAAGTATGCAAAGAATGATTCTAATTATTAAGTATAATTGCTGAGCTTATCCAACAAATTTAATTGTTGATAACAAGCAATAAATAAAAAGTATAAATGTATATACATAAAATTCAGTACGAACATCAAGTGATTCAGTTTTGTAGCATGCTAAAGATAATGCAGTATTTCCATATTCATTTTCTGCAAGTAGATCGCACTGAACATCAAGAATAAGTTTAATCATTCGAATATTATTATGCTCTACAGCTTTGAACAGGGTCCAGTTTATAGGGTTTTGATGGTGGTCATGATTTTTACAAATATCTGAGAAATATGTGATAATTTTCCGTAACCCTTCTTGTAATCTTTCTTCATCATTATCATGGATTGCATGTAATATGGATTGTTTCTCCTATTTGAAAAAATATGAGATTACTATAAGGAGAAAGGTAAAACATTACGATAAAAATGCCTAAGAGAAACAAAGCAGTAAGTGCAATTGGTATAGTAACATTGATTTGAATATTTAATCATTGATTACAGCTATAACACTCTAGTAATGTAAAAACATTGCATTGCTTTAAAATTAACAGAACTATAGCTGTAATATTAAATCCATAAATTTTGGATACGATTTACTTAATTTACCATTTCACACATCGATAAATTCCGATCACACATGCATAAACACATTTCTATTTCATAAAGAAAAAAGTTGTCATTCATTGACAACTAAAAAATTATCATTTTGTATATTGACACTTGTGAAATGTTTTACCGGGAAGCTAATTTTGACATATATTTAAAATTTCTGAATGAATGTTACTGCCATTATTTATTAACAATATTGTGGACTTCAATTGTATACGGATTTACGGATTCATATTTTACGTATTGCTTATTAACCAAGAACCTCCAACAAACTGTCAAAAATGCAACGTACCAACCCTAGACAATATAATAATATGGTACCAACATTCAGTGACAGCAATTCTCATTTTAAACATTTTCTGTCAAAATGTCAATATAAAATCAAAAATGTTAAAATTGAATTATTAATTTTAATATATTGTGAAATAATTTATATCAAATAAAAGATTTTTATAAGATAAAAGTTATATGACATTTGAAATTTGTTTATTTATTTATAAGACTTTATAGTTTATATAAGATTATTTTTACGTGAAATGCTATTAAACTAATTTTGTTTAAAATGAGTCAAAATAATTATCGTGGGTCTACTTTTGACTCGTCTGGTAAAAGAAGTACTGATATCGGTAAGGGATTTCATGCTGTACCTCCGCCTGCCCTGGATGCTTTTAGGAAAACCAACAAAGCAAATGCGAATATGCCGGGTGTAAATAAACAAGGCTACACAACGATGAATGCAATTTCGCATAATGCTATTACGGCAGGAATGGGAATAACGAGAAAAAGGGCCAAAACTGAAGACGAGTAATTATCATTCTTGCTGTGATTATGCATTCAGATTATTTTTATCATTATAAACATTTCAAATACACTGACTATTTCTACAAATCACGTTTTCAGTAGATATTTATTCTATTTATTACAGATGAACCTCGATTAACCGGACTAATTGTTGTCGATGGTTATTCGGATAATCGAAAATCCGGATAATCGAATGAATGAAGAATAATGTTGTGTATTAATTGAAAATAACAATTACATACATAGATATCAATGAAAATCAATGTTTATTAAGAAATTAACAATTCCCTATGTTTGTACATACATATTTTCTTTGATTACATTACATACATATACTAAATTGCAGCATTAATCATGCTAAAATTCGAATTATAGGTATGTTCATACATATAAATTTGTTGCGGTTGGTAGTCTGGATAATCGCAAATCCGTATAACCGAGGTCCGGATAATCGCGGTTCTACTGTAATTTCAAGTATTATTCAAATATCAATTATTATTAATTGAGGGGTTTACAATAAAATTATTTAACTTCAATTTGAAGTAATTATTCAAACTCTTATTTGTCACATTTTAAATAAGTCAAATTGCAAATAGTTAATTAAATATTACTGATAAAAACTGTAATAACTATAATTTTGTTTAGTTACTCTATTTTAATTTTTTTGATATAAAAAGATCATTCGCATACATGCCTTTGAGGTCTTTAATTTAATTAACTTCCCATAGGGTAAATTATAATAATTCCAAAATGTTTCTGAAAATTTTTGCAAACCTTAGAAAAAATGTATGTATGTGTGTGTGCGGATACAATTTTTTAATTACGATTTTAGGAACACAGTTCAATCCATATGAATGATTCAGGAAACCTATTGATACCTATTGATAAGGAGATGTGCTGATTAGTTTTGGCCAAGGCAGGTCCAGTCGTTTCGAAGATATGACGGTCAAAAATGATCGTTAGACATTTGCATATCAAATTATCAGATATTTTATAGAGATTTTAATAATAAGTATAAATTTTGCTTACATTTCCAGGGGTTCAATACCACTGTTTACTTTTACCACGACGCAGCGCTTACGCGCCTTGATATTTTTCAATATATTTTGAAAAAGTTATATGTTTTAAAAAATTCTGCCATACATCACTAGTTTAATTATAAATTAGCAATAAACAGATTAATCTTTCAACACATTGCTGTACATACTTAATTCATTTTATTTATTAAAGTTTTTAGTAGCAAATATGTAAACAAACTAATAAATGAAAATTCACTGTTTTTTTTTATTTAGATATTTTGATGAAATTGAAGACGATTCTACTCCTAGTGGTAGTGATTTAGCATATATTCCTGCACCTGGAAGTCCCTCATGTAAAATGTCTCAAAATGATGATTCTGATTCAGAAGAAGATCCATTGGATGCTTTTATGGCTGGAATAGAAAAACAAGTATTTATCTTTAGCCTCTTAACTGTTTAATTATGTTTCAGAAAGTTGTTTGTGTTTGATTAATTAGTTTTCCATTATGACAAGTATACTACGTAAACAGAGTGCTAATTTTTATGCTTTTAAAAGTAGAAAATGACAAAAGCTTATTATATATTTTGTGATTGCATATTTATTTTTATTTATTATTAACAAAGAAAAAAATTTTATTGGACAAATTATTTAATCAAATAATGAAAAAAAGGCATTTTGGAAATCATAAAATAAATAAAATACAATAAAAATTCTAATGATTCAAATGAAGACTTCTAACTCAATGGAATGCACAGAAAATATTTTTGTAAACACACTTTATCTATGTTACCAACAAGCAATTGCATATAGAAATAAAAATGGTTGTTTATCTTTCAAATAATCTAAAATATGCATTTTGAAAAAATATTTGTTTAATATCTCTTAAAAGAAAGCCAGTTGGGAAAATATTTTTTTTTTTTTTTTGGTCATATATTTGGAAGTAGACAGTTAAAGGGTTAAGTAGACTATATTGTTCATTGATAGAAGAACTCATAATTAAATGATTACTGTATGATTTATGCAGTGAATGTAATGCATTAAATATTTTGAGTATTGTGTTATTTTCTTGTTCTTTGCATGCCCCAAATTGTCTTTACTGTAATTAAAGAATTTAGTTACTTTGAATGCTTCAATATAAGTTCATAAATTGATATTCATTTCTTTAAAGATTTGTAAAGATTTATTTATTTTATGTGTATATAAAAAGGTTAAAAAGGAGAAAGCTTCTGTTAGTACATCTGAATTAGCAGTTAATAAAAAGAAAGGTGTTAGAGATGATATTGATGAAGAAGATGTTGAAGAATCATATTACAGGTAAATATAAGTTTTTTTTTAAGTCATAATTCAAAAATCTGTGCTTATCTATTATTCTAACATTATTTTTTTCTAGATATATGGAAGAAAATCCCAATGCTGGTGTTATTGATGAGGGTTCCGATGTTGAAATAGAATATGATGAAGATGGAAACCCCATTGCTCCTCCTAAAAAAAGGCATATTGACCCTCTTCCAGCGATTGATCACTCAGAAATCGATTATTGCTCATTTGAAAAAAATTTCTATATTGAACATGAAGATATTCAAAATCTGGACAAAAATCAAGTTGATGATCTCAGAAGTACTTTGGGCATTAAGGTATTAATAAAATCAAATAAAAATATGATCAGAACTTTTGTAGCTTGACTGTAGTTTATATCATTAAAGTGAAACCATTAAAACAAGATATGATGTTTTTTGTAAGGTTTCTGGACCGAGTCCACCAAAGCCAGTAACAAGTTTTGGTCATTTTGGGTTTGATGAATCCTTGATGAAGGCAATAAGAAAAGCTGGTTATACGCAACCTACTGCAATTCAGGTAAATTTATTTTAATAATTAAGAATTAGTCTAGTCATACAATATGCAAAAAATCATATGTAATAGCATTTTTATTAATCTTTATTTTTAATTGAATTCATCAATCTGAATTCAAACAATTCCAATCAGTTTGTATTAAACCTATCTAATATTTCTTTTTATAATTAATAGTTAAAGATCATCTTTGAAGAACTTACTTAAGAAATGAAGGTATGATTTCTAGATTGTAGAAATTAATATTACTTGAGCAAAAATTACATTTTGCTGATTCTCATAAATTATTGCTCTTTGACTTTGACTGACAGCGATTGAATTATTTGAGTTCAAAATATTTGAAGAAGTGATATATTATATGTGATATTTTTATGAATTCTTAATAATATATTAATTGCTTTACTGTTTTTAATAGGCTCAAGCTGTACCTGCAGCTCTTGGAGGGCGAGATGTAATAGGTATAGCTGTTACTGGCAGTGGAAAAACAGCAGCCTTTTTATGGCCTATGTTGGTTCATATTATGGACCAAAAGGAACTTGCTCCAGGAGATGGTCCTATTGGGCTAATTCTTGCTCCCACTCGAGAGCTATCTATGCAGGTGAAATATAATTTAATTATATTTAATATTAATATTATATTTAATTATAACTTCCAGAAGGAGTTTGTTTTTATGACAAAATTCGATGTGCTAATTTTATTGAAAAAACGTCTATAACAATTTCAAAACTTTAAGAGCAATTCTATAAAACTCGATATGCACTAGCTTTGGTTAGTTTTATGATACTAACTAATAGATAGAGTATTATGGTCTTACGAAGAGTCACTTAATTATGAAATATCAATAAAATTATCAATAAAAAAAAGTGTACCAAAGTTAAAAATCTGCTATTGTGTCTTGCATTCTGTGTAGATTATCGGAATGTTCATTCAAGTTGCCTTAATGCCAAACTGCCACTTACAACTAATTTTATTTATTTCATTAAATTAATGATGTGATAAACTGTACTAGACTTTGTTTTATTACACTTACAATATTGTTTCTAAAAATACTTTTCTTTTTTAGATTTATAATGAAGCAAGAAAATTTGGTAAGGTGTACAATATCAATGTTATTTGTTGCTATGGTGGTGGATCTAAATGGGAACAATCAAAAGCTTTGGAAGAAGGAGGGGCTGAAATTGTTGTTGGAACACCAGGCAGATTAATAGATATGGTTAAAATGAAGGCTACTAATCTTACCAGAGTTACATATCTTGTTTTGGATGAAGCTGACAGGATGTTTGATATGGGCTTTGGTAAGTTTATAATTTTGTAATCTTATTTTACTTTCACTTTAACCATTCTTGTCATATAAACGTTGTGTATTGATCTTCACACAATTTTTTTTTATAATGATATTTAAACTATTGCCAACTCCCATGCTCAAAGGGTTCAGGGCAATTTTTATCCACATACTTTGAGTTTAGAATGCTGCTTATAAATTATTGTAAGGCCCTTTATTTTCATCTCCTTTTGCTTATACAATACATATCTATAATGTGTTATGCTCGTACATCCTCGTCAACCTTACAATTTAATTAAAAAAACATGGTCCTTCTCTTTGAACCTATAGTTATAAGAGTCAACAAGATTTTGTAAATGTGCAAGTGATAAAAAACTTATCTCAGCATATATATCTATATAATCGCTATTAATGTATAAATAAAATTTGAGACTTTCTTGGATATATTAGCTTGGTTAAATCGCACGAAAAATTGAAAGAACCAACTATAAAATAATTCACTATTCTAACTCAGGAAATATATTTTTATGTTTTTTTTTGTGTAGCGAAGGAAATGCCTTTATGCATCTCAGGCTGGTGTTTTGACTAGGTATGTCGGACTCAATACCGCCCGGGTATAACACCGACTAAAACTTTCGCATATCTCTTGGCTCTGGACCCCACGGAAACCGCCGTTAGGCATTACTTCGTGGAGGGAGGATCTAGAATGTTATAATTCTTACCTTGATTTTATACTTAGCTTTTAATTGAGCGAAGTCCCATTTGCCCTTTCTCTTTCCATAGAACGCAGGACAATTAGCATATCTCTCGCAAATCTGACTTTGGCGTTCCAAGCAGCTTCAGTTGTCAGCATCACTTCAACAACAGTATCTGGAGTAATTTTTCGGCTCAATATCTTTTCCACATCGTCCCGTAGAGCACTCAATCGCGGGCATACGAAGAACACGTGCTCAGCATCTTCGATTTCGTCCAAACAATATGGGCAATCCGGCGAGCAATCGTGCTTGAAGCGGTGTAGGTAGGCTCGAAAACAGCCGTGCCCAGATAGCATTTGCGTAGTATAATAATTTACTTCTCTATGCTTGCGATTTAGCCAGACTTTGATGTTTGGAATGAGACGATGCGTCCATCTGCTCTTCACTGCGACATCTCACAGTTGCTGCCATCGGTAAATGCTGGTCTGCCGTTCTTCTATTCTCAACTTTTCAGGACTCGGTTGTTGATGCCTTCGTTGGTAAATTGTCCGTCTTTCTTCTGCTAAGATTAAGAGAGGCAGAGTTTCTGAAATGACGCACACTATTTCCTCCGATATCGTGCGAAATCCGCAAGCAATTCCTAAATCTGGGTCTTGCCATTTTCCTGTATTTTTGAGTTTTGAGAGCATCAGCCCATATGGGAATACCATTTGTAAGCACCAAAGTAATCACTGATGGTAGTAATGTCCTTCTGGTTTGTTTAGGGCCTCCAACATTAGCACTAACATGTTCCATCTGTTGATTGAAACTCAATCAAGCATCAAGCATTACGCTAAGGTAACAGATGTGAGGTTTTGACGTGATCTCTAGATTTTCTATCTTCAGCTTGATGGTCTCTATTGTTTTTCTACTCGTGATTAGAACAGCTCAGAGATATCTCTGAGCTCTGAGCTTTTGCTTATGTGTCGAAGCAACGATTTGCTCTTTTGGTGGCTTGTATCTTGAAACACTCATTGTTCTTATAATTTTTAACTTCTCGTAGGGTAGTTATAGTAATGGGCCGAAAATCGAAAATAAAAATTATTGCATTTTTCGACGTTTTGAAGGTTTCTGAATATTTTGGCATACCTCAGAAAAAATGGATGTGTGTGTGTGTGTGTTTTGTATGTCCGCATTTTTTCGTCCACGTTTTCGGGCGCACGGATCAACCGATTTGAATGGTTTAAAAAACATTCGATTCCTTTTAATAGGGAGATGTGCTGATTAGTTTTTGGCAAAGGCAGGTCCAGCCGTTACGGAGATATGGAGCAAAGAGTGCAGAAAATAGAAATCGAGTTTTTGAGAGAACGGTTCAACCGATTTGTATGATCCAAAAAACATTCAGTTCGTAATGACGGGAAAACGGGCTATTAGTTTTTGGCAAAGGTAGGCCTAGCGGTTTTGGAGATACAGAGCTAAATGTTAAAAAAAAAATGGCAGTTTTTGAGAGAACTAAGCGTCCGATTTAATTGATTCAAAGAACTTTCTGCTTGTTTCAACAAAATAATTGCTTTTGGAAAAAAAATTTTGTTTCTAATTTTTTTTCAAAAAATATTTTTGTAATTTTTGATTAAAAATTCAAACTAGTGGGGTGTATGGATGGCATCGTGCTTTAAGGCAAATTGCTTGAACTTCCCGTATCGTAACGAAATGTTCGAGGAATACTGAATGTTTTCAAATAGATTATTATTATTAATATTGGAACATTGTCTAATATTTATAAGAATTATATATCTGAATTGCTAAGGTGAAATTATTTGTTTAAAGTATATTAGAACTATAGTTAGAATTAAAAGTAAAATCTGAATTATTTTCGATATACAAAAAAAAAATTTTTTTGAAAAAAAAAAATTGAAACATATTTTTTTTCCAAAATCAATTATTTTGTTAAGACAAGCAGAAAGTTCTTTGAATCATTTAAATCGGACGCTTAGTTCTCTCAAAAACTGCCATTTTTTATACATTTAGCTCCATATCTTCGAAATGGCTGGGCCTGACTTTGTCAAAAACTAATAAACACTTCTCCCAATCATTACTTATTGAATGTTGTTTAGATCATTCAAATCGGATACTCCGTTCTCTCAAAAACTCGATTTCTATTTTCTGCACTCTTTGCTCCGTATCTCCGTAATGGCTGGACCTGCCTTTGCCAAAAACTAATCAGCTCTTTTTCCTATCAGTAGGAATCGAATGTTTTTTGAACCATTCAAATCGGTTGATCCGTGCGCCCGAAAACGTGACTGGAAATTTGTATCCATACATACATACACACACACACACACACACGTCCATTTTTTCTGAGGTATGCCAAAATGTTCAGAAACCTTCAAAACGTCGAGAAATGTAAAAATTTTCAATTTCGATTTTCGGCCCATTACTATAACTACCCTACGGAAAGTTAAAAATCACCCAGACTAAGCACAGTCTAAGCGCCACTCTGGCGCAAATGTTTACCCAAGTGCGTTTACACTGTTTATGTACTGGAGCACTTTTCCAATTTTGTGAAACAAAACTATTGAAAAATGTGAAAATGCCGCCAACCTAAGCACAGTTTAAGTGAAAATGTCTCACTGAATTATTTGCAAATGTGTTTAGACTGTGACTATACGGGAGCACTTTTTCAATTTTGAGCAAATTAGGCATCTATTTTTTTTAAATTGAATTCGAAATAAAATGACGATTGTTGTTAATGTTCTAGAGATAAATTCTGCTCAGATATAACAAGATAGCAAAAATAATGAAAGTTACAGTTTTTGTAATAATATATTTGAAAACGTTTAAAGTTTCTCGAATTTCCAGCAATTTGTCTTAAGGCACGATGCCATACACCACTAGTTAATTTTAAAATTCATGTTATGTTTCAAACGAATGTCCTCGACAGTATGAAATAACCGATTTGAATAATTTAAAAAACATTTGATTCGTATTGATAAGGAAACGTGCTGATTAGATTTTTGCGAAGACAGATCTAGCCGTTCCGAAGATACGGGGTAAAAAGTGCCAAAAACGGTAACTCAGTTTTTAAGAGAACGGAGCGACGGTTTTAATAGTTCGAAAAACATTTTACTTGTATTGATGAAATGAACAACTGGTAAAATTTTTGGGAAGGCAGGTCCAGCGGTTATGGACTATCAATAAAAATAATTTAAAAAAAAATGTCATTTGGCGGTCAAAAATCTTCATTGGACATATGTACATCAAATTATCAGATATTTTATAGAGATTACTATGTACACATTTTGTGTAAATTTTTTTGGGTTTCGTACCAAGATTGTTAATTTTCAAGTTTTTTTACATGGTTCAAACAAATGCCCTCGACATTTTCGACAGTATGGAATAACCGATTTGTATGATTGAAAAATCATTCGGTTCGTACTCGATCGCGAGGCGTTTTTGCAAATGGCAATTTTGCCGTTTCGGAGGTATGGAGCGTAAAGGGCATGAAAACGGTTTTGCAGTTTTTGAGAGAACTTTAATCCGATTAGATTAATTCAAAAAACATTTACAGAAAATTTAGTAATTTTGAAAATTAAAAAAAAAATCAAAATTTAAAAAGAAATTCAAAGTTTCAAAAAATTCAAATTTTAGAAACTTTTCATCATTTTCAAAAAAACTAAATTTCGAAAAATTAAAAAAATTGATTGCTTACAAAAATTTGAGAATGTTTCGAAAATTAAAAAAAAACGAATATTTTTAAACATTTCCAAGTTCTCATAATATTTAAAAAAAACGTTTTGTTTTAATTCCAAAAAATTTTAAACTGTGAAAAAAATTTCTCAATTTTGAAAAAATTCCAAAATTTTGAAAAAAATTCTAAATTATCAAAAAATTTCTAAATTATCAAAAAAATCTAATTTAGAAAAAAGGACTCTTATATACGTACATATAAGTTGTTTGTAAAATACGCTCATCATCCAATTCAAAAAGCACTTATAAATTTACAGTATGTATTAAAAATCTTCAAAACAATTATTAATTATTTTCATTCCTCGAATGTTTAATTAAGATACGGGAAGTTCCATCAATTTGCTTTAAGGCACGATGCCATGCGCCCCACTAGTTTTCTAATTTATATAAGCGAAATGACTTTGTTATTAAATTATTCTTCAATTAATTTTATTGAGCATATTGTTTCAAAGAACAAGTAAAGTTATAAATACGATTACAAATTTTTAGAACCACAAGTTCGTTCAATATGTGATCATGTTAGGCCAGACCGACAAGCATTACTGTTCAGCGCAACTTTCAAGCGTAAAGTGGAAAAATTAGCCCGAGAAGCATTGACCGATCCAGTTAGGATTGTTGCTGGTGGTGAAGTTGGTCTGGCCAACCAAGATGTGGAACAAAGAGTTCTGGTAATTCCTCAACCTGCACATGAACGGAAATGGGCATGGTTACTAAATCACATTGTAGAAATGATGTCTGCTGGAAGTGTTTTGGTGTTTGTTACAAAAAAGGTGAGATCATATATATATATATATATATATATATATATATATATATATATATATACTACACATTCTTTAATATTTTATTTAAATTACATTTGAATTTTGATATACAAAATTTAAATGAAATATTAAAGAATGTGTAGTATATAAGTAACTGTTCTTGAAATTACACTGAAGATGAGGCATACCAAGGTCTCGAAACGTCTGCAATTTTTAAATAAAGTGTGTGTTAAAAATCTGAGTGTTGTATTGTTCATATTTAACATTTAATATTCGTTCCACTCATATCACAAAATTCTATATATGATTATTATGCTTATATATAACTAAAATTATATGAGGTAATGTTTGTGAACAATTACTGCTAATCATTGTTAAATATTTACTTGCATATTTCTCCAATATCCTCCAGATTTTAGATGTACTTCTGAGGCTTTATCCTAAATAAATCAAATTGAAATAATTCACTTATGATAACAATATAACATTTTTATATAAATCTACGATTTATGTTCTATAGAGTGACGCTGAGCAAGTGGCAAATAATTTTAAATTAAAAGAATTTGATGTTCTCTTATTACATGGTGATATGGAACAAGCAGAAAGAAATAAGGTGATTACGTCCTTCAGGAAACAAGAAGTTCCTATAATGGTTGCTACAGATGTTGCTGGTAATGCATTGTTATTTAAGATACCTTGTTTACGTCCTACACATAATTATTCCACGATTTTTTTAGTAAGACTTTTGAATTATAATATTTTTGTCAAAAAATCTGAAAATTTTGATTGCTCAGCATTAAAACTAAAATTATTTGCCACAATAAATGGTAAATGTTTGTGTGCTTGCATATGTATATGTATATATTTGACTCCAATTGGCTATATACAGCTAATTTTATAGTACTGTTATTACACAAAAACGGCTGAACCGATTTCAAAAAGTTTAAAACCGTTGATTCGCACTCGGCTGAGCCACGTTTCTGTAGAATTAGCAGAAAGGTACAAAATTTTTTGTACACTTTTTAGCCAAAAACCCTGAATTGATTTCGAACATTCCAAAACTATTTCAAAGAAATCGAATTAATGAATCTTTGTATGACGATAAATGTAAATTTAATAATTCTTTGTATGATGATAAGGAATCTGGTCGTAGTGAACATACTAAAATATTATAGTCTTACAAAAAGTGTTTCATTTATATAAAAAAATTAAAATTTGAATTTATTACTTTTAGAAAATTCAACAATGTGTAATGAAAAAAAATGTGCAATAAATAACAAAATACATATTGATACAAAAAATATATTGATTAAGTTTATGCAACTTGCATTAAGGCAAAGTTAGTTCAAAAAGATTCAATGGATTATAATGTAATGTAATGTAATTTATTGGTCTTATACACAAAATGATAGTTTTATTTTTTTAGTAACGAATAGTTTAAAATATTATATTCATAGAGTTCATATAATCTCCAATCTAAATTAGTTAAATTAATTGTAGTAATGACATATGCTTGCTGTATTTTCTAATTGTTGGCATATTTTTCAGCTAGGGGTTTGGATATTCCACATATTAAGACTGTTGTGAATTATGATATTGCACGAAATATAGACACACATACTCACAGAGTTGGAAGAACAGGCAGAGCTGGTGAAAAAGGTGTAGCTTATACCTTGATGAGTGAAAAAGATAAGGAATTTGCTGGACACATAGTTAGGAATCTAGAAGGAGCAAATCAGGTAATTGTGTGTTTTATCTAAATTTATATTGTTATTACAATCTTTTGCTAAAGAGTAGTTTGCAACATGCCAAAGGAGAAGTTTGTTTTTGCGAAAAAATCCGATTTGCTAATTTTAAGTTTTTAAACACACTTTAAAAAATACATTTTTGGAGAACGAAATGACATGAAAAGTTGTGAACAAATAAACTTAATGTATACAATTATAGATATTATAATAAGTAAAAGACATCAATTGGAAAGAGTGTTGGTATTTTCTTAGCGAAAGTGAAAATTTTGTTGTTGAAATAAACAGATGAAGTGATTTTATAAATCTAAATAGCTCAATTTTTATTGGTTAAGTTGATTATATATGCATATTGGGAGTTCATGCAACTTGCCTTAAAACAAAATGCTACTTAAAACTAGTTTAATTAAATTTTTTATTAATTGACATTACATAAACAAAAAATAATTCTACCTAAACCTATATAACATTATGAGTAAATATGCTCACGTAATATAGAAAACTGAAAAATTATTTGGCTTTTAACTATTATGTGACAATATATAATTTTTTTATTCATAGGAAGTACCCAAAGAAGTGATGGATTTAGCTCTACAAAGTTCATGGTTCAGGAAATCAAGATTTAAACAAGGTAAAGGAAAAAAATTGAATGTTGGAGGCGTCGGATTGGGTTTCAAAGAACGTCCAGGAATGCGAACTTCAGAAGATACTGGCACAAATAATTCCTATGAAAGAGCTATTATTAAACCACCTAAAGGACCTGCTACAAGCAGACTTTCTGCAATGAAAGAAGCTTTCAAATCCCAATATACCAGTCAGGTATTTATATAGATTGAATCACTATACTATTAGTGCAGTAAACGGAGAGGAAAAAGGGTCTCTGCCCCGATTTGCATGAAATTTTGGAATTAGGTTCATCTTATCTTCAAGTTCAAAAGTGAAAACAATTTGGACTTTGCCACTACCCCCCGGGGAGTTGCGAGCCCTTAATGAATAAGTGGACATTGAGCCATTTTATCGCTAGAAAACGTTTTCAATATTAAAGGATATAATTAAAAAGTATTTTTTAATACATTGACCTTGCAATAAAATCGTTTTCAACCCCGTGAATACCCCAAAACCCTTCAAACAACCTCTAAATTGAAAAAACAACACTTAAAAATAAATTTCAGTTTAATATGAATTACGTATAAAGTAAATAATATTTTATGTTTTCTATCTTGATTATCAATTTTTAAACCCTTTTTAGACCCCTTCATAAAAAATTGTTCGAAAAAATTATTTTGAAATTGAAAGAAAATTAAGACGTTCAAAGTGATATGAATGTTATATGTTAGGTTATATGTTGTTCTTCGTAACACTAGTACACAGTATAATTTTTTCTAAACTCACTTATTTTTATTTAATGATTTTTTTTTTATTTAAAAATGTAATATTTTTATTTATTCGAAAAATTTCCTTTTACTATCATAAAAATATTTTCATTCTTATATGTGAAAATGATGCATGAATAACGAATAATTATTTTCAAAGTTATTTAATCAAGATAAACTATTATTTTTTAGTTCTACTAATTAAAATTAAAATAATTTTGTTTACTATCTATAAAATTAAACAATAAATAAATTCAGTCAAATACTGCTCTAAATTACACTAAATTTGCAGATAAATTACAGAATATTCAAGCAAAAATTTATTTTTTATATAAAATTCGAAAACCGGTTAAAACCGGTTTTTTAGTAAAATTAAAATTCGAAAACCGGTTTTCTGAAATGTCGGTTTTTGCATAAGCCCTAATATATATATATGGTTATGTGTATTTATAATAATAATATATATATATATATATATATATATACCATTTGGAAGGTAAAAGGGCTACAACTTTTTTTATTATAATTTTTTTCGTAACTCCTCTCATTTTGAAACCGCGAAGGGTTAAAGGGCTCGAGAGAGACTCAAATAATCATAACTCGTCAATTTTTGTGTGAAAGAAATATAATAAAAAGCAATAATAAGCCAAAAATACCCCTTTGATTTTTATTTATATGCTTTTATATGTATCTTTTATTCTTTCTTAGATATAACAAATATAAGTTTGATTTTTTAAAAAATCGGATTTTTCTTTATAAAATCGTGAGTTTTCTGAAAATAGTTTGTACTAAAGTAGTGAATCTGCTAGAATCCATCAAGATCTTTATAAAAGAAGAAGAATTCTAGATAGAATGTGAATAACTTTAATTTTGGTCGAAATGGCGCTCATTAAACTATATGATTTAAATGAAAAAAACATCGTATATGCATCATTTGCATGATAACTCACGCATTTTACACGCAAAAAACTTGTAACAGCACTATTAGTGCACTATTAAACCCAATTTCACTGAAATGCATAACATGTAACACTTCTCCACTAGATGGCTTTAAATACAACAATTAAATATTGAACGAAAAAAAACGACTTTGCTCTTTCAAATCTAGCTTAATATTATTCCTAGAACTTTATAAAATACCGATTCATTAAGATTTTTATTGACATTATTTTGTTCATTACATGATTTTCGTTAAAATGTATATTTTAGGAGATATTTGCAAAAAAACGAAGAAAAACGCCAAAAATATATGAATTTTTAGTAGCCAGTATCTTAAAAAGTATTAGCTTTTTTTTTTGAAAAACTTTAAAAGACATTTTTATATCCGACGTTATTTTGAAAAAATAAAATTAGACAGCTGAGAAGGGATATCATCTCCCGGTACGAATTGTTTTCACTTTTGAACTTGAGGATAAGATAAACCTAATTCCATAAATTCATGCAAATCGGAACATAGTAAAAAAAAATCAGACCCAAAACACTCCATTGACTGTAGTATATGCAGTTTGCATATCTCATCAATAATTTTTCAACACACATTGTGTTATTTTCAATAATTTTTTGGGTATCCAATTCCACCTTTATGAATTAAAAAATGTATAACATTAAATTGAAACAAATCAAATTAACTCATATTTCAGAAGATATTATGTGGTGAATATGCTAACTAATTTGATGTATATATCAGTCCTTGTGCTCAATTTAATAATCTTAATACTTTAATATTATTTTAATACTTTTACGTTAAATTATTACTTTTTATTAAATAATATTAATATTATTAAATAATTTGTTTTATTGGCATATTACACAATTCTTGGATATGTTTAAAAAAAAAAATACATTTTTATCTCTATTTAAAAGTTGCAGTGTAAGTTACTAAATTTAAAATATTAGTCTGCAAAAATATTCAATAATAGTATGTTTTAATGGTTTTGCAGTTTAAAGCGTCGACTGATCACTCTTGGGAAAATAATGTGCAACCGCAATTTGTACCACCATTAGCTCCAGAGCCATTGCCTATTCAAGATAATAATAAACGCAAAGCTAAAAAGAGCAGATGGGAATAAATGAATTAGAATTAGTTTAAAATACTTAAAATATTACTTTATGTATATATATATATATATGTATATATATATATATATATAAAATTTTGTTTGTGAACTTTGAGATATGTTTCGTATTTGTGAAAACGTAATGAATTATTTCATGAACTCTTGTATATATGAGGTTATTTTATTATATTAGTTCTTTTATATACATAAGCGTTTTGTATTAAGATACATATATTACTTTTCTTAATTGTTTTACATAATGGATTTTCTAAAAGCATGTATTGAAACCATCTAGTGTTCTGACGTCAATTTTAAAACATTCATTTAAATATCAAAAGTGTTAATTTACATTTTTTCAATATCTATTTCTTCATTTGTGAAAAATGAATTGTAACCCATGAAAAATATATTTTGCCAGATTTTTTTCTCAAGTAGACAAGTTTGTTGGTTATTTATCTGTTGAACTTACAGAGGGGTTCAATTAAAAAAATATTGTATGATTAAAAAAGAGAGACCTTACATTTCAAGTGTGGGATTTTGAAGAAATTTATGATGAAAGATTTGGTTTCCAAAGTGACTATCATAAAATATTAGATACATATGAAAATTAAATATTGCGTATTAGGGTCATTCTTTTACAAACCGAACACCAATTAACCTTGACATTTTAGAATTGTCTGAAAATTTGTTTACAGATAATATTCATAAAATCATTTAACACGTATTTCAGGATTTTGCTAAAAAAAAAATTTTTCCGAAATTCGAAAGTGACAAATGAATACAAGTCTTTGAGGTCCCCGACGTGAAAAGCGCGGCTCGCGCTTGAAAATATTTATTATTTTTCGATGTAACAAAGTCTCCAACAAATTGTAAAAAGAATTTTGTTGCAGAGAAAAAAAGAAAAAATATGTTTTTTTTTGGATCGATTCAAGTTGGGGTAAGGCTGAGTAAAACCTTTGTAAATATTTAAGGGTTGTTATTGTTAAGAAAATTGCAAAAACAAAAAAAAAATTTTTAATCATTACAAAGTTCAATATGAATGTAATAAACAAAAATAATACTGATCCAATCAGCACATCCGGAGATAATTAATTTACCGCAGATGATGATGTTCATAGATATTGAGCAAAAAATCCATATTTCAATCGTAAATATTTATGTAAAAAATTTTTTTCAGCAAAATCCTGAAATACGTGTCAAATTATTTTATGTATAATATCTGTAAAAAAAATTTCAGACAATTCTAAAATGTGACATTTTATTTTATTATCTTAGAAAATGGTACGTTTTATTATTCTTATAGTTTAGTAGATTATGCTATTCTTTTGACTTAGAAGTTTTTATAATAAATAGTTGTTCCTTATTGAAAATAGAAACAAATTTTTATTAAAAAAGCTGTCATTAGCTCAGATATAGTCCAGATAATACGCATCCTAATACACATGAAACCGAAAAAATATTGTTTATCAATTTTCCAATATAAGAACGAACGGCAACAATCATAGTGTGGCACAACGAACACAAACAAACATAGCGAGCAATGTTTTCGCAACTTGTTGGTACATCAAAGAAAATTGTTCGTTCATGTTTGAACCCGTATGTGCAGTGTGGACGCTGCCAAGACTGTAGACATTTCTTTTTTTTTGATGTTGTGCTGCTGTCCTGCATTAGTTTATGTTGTGACTATTATGTGATATTGCTATTATTGATACATTTTGCAAATATGATCACTTAAAACAATTTTTACCTTTCCCTCCACTTTAAATAATAAAACTGACGAGAAAACTGAATATTCTCGAACAAAGAAGATTCAAGCCCTTACTGCTTTGAGGTGTTTATTCAAGTTCGTTTGGAATGATTCGCCTTCGTTCGTGTTTGTGTTCGTTCTTCTTTTCGTTCTTTTTTGTATTTTGTTGTTGTTATTCGTCATGTTTGTTCATGCTCGTTCGTTCGTCGGTGAGGGCGCACCTTAACTTGTTTGAGAATGACAGTTTGGTTGTGTCAGTCAACACTTCAAAAGTCAGCCACCAGCCACTAAAATTTGTTTTATATTTGATTGGCGTTCTTTCGAATTTTCTTTGCCGAAAAGATTAGTTTATAAATTAAACCTATTTGTAATTGCTTAATGCTTCATTGATTGTTCTGTTCATCTTAAGGTTATTTTAAACATCTAACTGGTTTTTGATAATAAAAATGCCTAGATTGTCTAGATTAACTTGTGCTGTGGAGGATTGCGAGTTTAGTACATATGATAGAACAATAAATGAATTACGCAGAGTTCAGTTTTTTGCATTACCATCTGGATTATCTAACAGAGATCGTAGGTCGAAGTGGATTAAATGGCTCAGTGATATCAAGTAAGTTTTACATAATTACAGGAGTTTTACAATTACAGTATATAATAACAGATAATTTTTTAATTGTTTGCAGTGGTGAAAATTGGGAGGTATGTAAGTATTCACATGTGTGCTCTCTACACTTTATTGGTGGGAAACCTTCAAACATGCTTTTACATCCTGCATATGCTCCATCAATAAAGACTCGAGATGATTATACCCCATTGGAAGAGAAGATTGCCTTAGCAGAGTAATTATAATAATATATTGACATCTTTGTAGTTTTAACCTGTTGCATAAGTAAATAAAATAATAATGCATGTGTTACATTATAATTTTTAATGTAATAAATGATCACATAAATTTTGTGTCCAATAGAACCACAGTCGAGACATGTAAATGCTACATTTGTATGCATGACGTTTATAAATATGAGTTTAAAAAAGTTAATAACATGTAATTTTAATCGCAGGTTTGAAATATATAAAAAGCAAAAAATAGCAAATATGAAGAAGCGATACAATATGCTAAGCCTTAATCCAAATAAAGTTACTGGAATTAATCATTGTGCATCTCAAAACAGTTGTGCGGTAATCCAAAAAGATGTTGGTGTTCAAGTTTGGCATGAAGATATATCAAAACAAGACAAATCCTTTTTATTTGTATGTAATAGTTTTATCGATAATAATAAAAATCATGCAGAGATTCAAGTTTATATTCCAGAAGGGACCGGAAGTATGCGATTAGTAAGATATAAAAAAGCCAAAAATAAGTGTTGTGGAACTGAAGTCAAATTTGCAAATAAATCTGTTGAGTGCACTGCTTCGACATTGCTATCAGTTAGCAGATGGTTATATGGTATTGATAAGCTAGAACAAGAATCTAATGATAGATAGTTATTTTACTTGTGAATGATCCTAGTCAACACTTTGAATTTAAGCTAATGCTTAATGTCTGAGTATTTATAAATCGAGGCATGTAGGGTGATAAAAATGAAAAATTATCTAATAGGAACAAAATAACTAGTGGTACGTGGCAACATGCCAAAAAATTAAAGCGCCTTTTGACCCAAGCTCTATAAAATTTTAAACTAAATATTTTAATATTTATTTCAAGAATATGTATTATAAGAATAAAAAAAATAAATGAAGCCATCTTCAACATGGGCACTAAGGAAAGCGGTACATTTATCACCATGCAGCAAGCATAAGAAATACATATATTTATTTTATGGTACACTATATGTACCAAATGTACATAATGTATTCACTATATGTAGTATATGTACATTGCACGTACCAGGAAGCCTGTGAGAGTTAAGGCAAATTTCTGAAACTTCTTGTATTATAATTAAACTTTCTTAGAATAAAAATAGTTACTAATCAATAATTAATAACAATCATTTTAAATGTTTCCAAATAGATCAATAGATGACATAAGTACAGTAGAAACTCGATTAACTAGTCTAACTGTTGTCAATAGGCATTCCGATAATCAAATATATGAAGAATAATATTGTGTTACATATGTATGTATTTGTTATTAAAAATAACAAATAAATACATAGATATCAACAAAAATAATGTTTATTAAGAAATTAAAACTTTCGTATGTATGTACACATATATTTTCTCAGATTACATTACATACATATCCTAAACTGCAGCATTAATCATTCAAAAATCCGAATTCTAGGTATGCATTTTATACATAGAAATTGGTTCGTGCTGGTAGTCCGGATAATGGCGAATCCGGAGGGTCGGATAAACGAAGTTCTACTGTACTGTATTTTTCATTATTTGTATTTCATGCATAAAAAATAAGAACTTATAATTAGACAACAACATTTATATATGTTTGCAAGAAAAGTAAATAAACAACATTTAATCGCAGTTACAATTAAAATGTGGGGCCTTATATCATATTTCAGCATTCATTATAGAGAACTATAGAGAACCTAAGAGAACTATAGAGAACCTAATCTCATATTTCTAAGATTGATGTAAAAAAATGTGAAAACAAAATTATAAATATCACAAAACTGAATTGCAAAGTTTTTTTTTTGAGTATATCATTGAGCTTTAGAACTTTTGAAACTTGAAACTTTATGTTAAATGAAAATTAAAATTTTAAAATATAATTTTAACATAATATTAACATTTTCGAATTCTTCGGTATTTTTTAAAAAATATTTTTTTAGATTGTGAAATATTTGAAAAAACTTTTTTTTTTAAATTTGAAATTTTTCAAAAAAAATTTTTTTAATTTTAAAATTTTTGAAAATTTTAAAAAGAAAATTGGAGGATATTTTATGAAACTTCTAAAAGCGAAAAATCTTTAAAAAAAAGAGTTAAAAAAAGGAATAGCTTTGTGATGAAAATATCACACCATTATCAGACTATACGAAAAAGAGGTAAATCTCACGAAACGATGGAATCCCGAATAAAGCGGTTATATTGCGTTTGTCCTCATTTTTATTTTTATCAATTTATCATTTTTACTAGATCCTGTTATGTTTAAAATATGTGTTATGTATAATTTTTAGGAATTAATAGAATGTGTTAGAATTATATAATTTTTCAGGTTGGACGCACTTCTTAATTATACCTTAAAAATTACGAAGCTAGAAATATACTAAAAAATATAAAAGAAAAATACAAAATTAAGAGGGATAATATTTCATAAAATGTGCTTATTGTTTTACAAAATCAACGAAAAATGCAACAAGAAAAGAAAACATTAGATAAAATAAGAGTATAAGATGTCGGTACATCAAAGAAAATGGTTCGTATGAACACGGGGTATTCTAATATTGTCTAGGCGTATGAACAAAAGGTATTCTAGTATTGTCTAGGGATGCTACCACAAATGTAGACAAACATTTTTCTTTTTTGATGTTAATATGTGCAGTCCTACAATAGTTTTTGTTGTATTTATTATGTGATACTGCTGTTATTGATGAATTTTGTAGATTTGATCACTTTAAATAATTTTTCTCTTTCCCGCCGCTTTAAATAATAAATCTGACGTTTTACGGAACATCCTCGAACAAAAAAGATACAAGCCCTCACTGCTTTGAGCTAGGCGTTTGTTTGGAATTATTCGCGATCGTTCGTGTTCGTGTTCGTTCTTCTTTGCATTTTCTTGTTCGACATGTTCGTTCGTGCTCGTTCGTTAGGTGTGGATGCAGCTTTTTGTATTTACTTGCTCGTCATGTTCGTTCGTGCTTGCTCGTTAGGTGAAGGTGCGTCCACACCTAACGAACGAACACGAACGAACATGTCGAACAAGAAAATACAAAGAAGAACGAACATGAACACGAACGAACGCGAAAAATTCCAAACGAACTTAAACAAGCGCTTAAGAGCAGTGAGCGCTTGAATTTTCGTTGTTCGTAGATGTTCCGTGAAATGTCAGTTTTATTATTGATATGGATGTAAGCTTTAATCATACGGCATTTTCACTGGTTTTTGTGTGATTTTTGTTCGTGTATATTTTGTAAATATACTGTAAATAAATTATTCAATTAATTTCACTCAGTTTTTGTATTTAATATTTATATTTTGAGTCGTTTTCTTTCCTCAGCATTCATATTCGGAGCAAGCTGAACATTCCAGGCTTGAGCCTAACTATACTCAATTTTCAAACTCTCATCCTCAACATATATGTTGAATGTCTATGTATGATAACAAGTTTAATATTTACTTGTAAAGACTGCAATTTCTTCTTTACTGCAGCTTCTGACATCCCAAACGTTCTGCCTACACTTTCCCAAGCATCGTTTTTTTTTTCTAATAATTTTATGAAAAGGGTCTTTAGTCTCCCATATTATAGGAAAAAAAATATTATTAAATTATTAAAATTATTAAAACAAAAATGTTCGTTTGCGTTCGTTGAGACGTCCACACTGCAAATACGAGTACCAACACGAACGAACAATTCCCTTTGATGTACCGACAAGTTGCGGAACATTGCTCGCCATGTTTGTTTATGTTCGTTCGTGACCGTTGTGGCGTCAACACTATGCTGTTGCCGTTCGTTCTGGTATGTTCATTTATGTTCGTTCGTTAGGTGTGGGTGCACCTTTAGTTGTACACATTTTAACATAAAAAAAGAAAAATGTTTGTCTACATTCGTGGTAGCGTCCACACTGCACATACGAGAACAAACACGAACGAACAATTCCCTTTGATGTACCGACAAGTTGCGGAACATTGCTCGCCATGTTTGTTTATGTTCGTTCGTGATCGTTGTGGCGTCCACACTATGCTGTTGCCGTTCGTTCTGGTACGTTCTTTTATGTTCGTTCGTGTTCGTTCGTTAGGTGTGGACGCACCTTGAGGCGTACCTTTATTTATCTATGCCTTGAGTTTCTATGCAAACACAAGCCAACTGGCACTCTACGATAAAAGCATGCTTCTTCGATTTTTCGTAAAATGTCATATTTGGAAATGTAACTTGATTTATCTGAACCTTGTTTGAACAGAATTACGATTAGCTAACTAAAACTGGTGTTCTAAAATTCAATAGATTTTTCCGTAAACTTGTGGTTTAAAAATCGAAATTAGATGTAAATTTCAGGAAATATAAGAAATTGAAAATATCATATAGTTTTCATTTCTAAAGTACCTGACCAAAAAGTCAAAATGTCTATTAATGGCATTTATGCAGAGGATAGTGAAGGTGTGAATATTAAATTAATGTTTTCTTATACATATTTATTAATTATGTTAATATGAACACAATGTAATATTTGCACTAACCTTGCTTAACTGAAAAACACACTGCACTCTAATTTTACACTTTTTACCAATTGTAGTGTATTCTTATTCGCATACTTAATATTAGGTTTATTTATAATACAAAATTCCTCTATATATAAACTAAAATCATATATTTGTATTTATGTATGTATTTATGTATATTTACATGACTAGTGATGATAAATAATGCACACACTTTATATATGAATAGGTAAATTTATACCAGCCACTCAGCGTCCTGATGGGACATGGCGGAAACCCCGAAGAGTGAAAGATGGATATATCCCGCAAGAAGAAGTACCTTTATATGAAAGCAAAGGTGTGTTGAAAACTAATAACAAAATAAAATTTATTATCTTCCAAAACGAAAAAGACAATACTTTGTCTATGTAAAATTGTTTTTGATTTTGTATGTACATTACATGTTTTACATTAAATCTTTCTATAAACCATTTATCAATCAATGAATTTTATCTTTCTATAAACCATTTATCAATCAATGGTTTTATTTTCTGCATTGTTTTTGTGATCTATATATATTCTTGTCACAAAAAGTTAATATATGTTGTTTATTGTATGAAATACATTTTAACCCTCTTTTTGTTATGATTTAAATTATTTTTATGTCAGTTTATTAATATTGCAAAATATTTCAAGGTAAGCAATTTGCTTCTCGAAAACCGCTGTTACCTGTTGGAATGTCTCCAGAAGTTGCATTGGCTTCTAAAAATAAAAAAGTTGGCCCAAATGCCCATTGCCCAATACCAGGTTTGGTTATATTGGAAGATAAGACTAAAAAGAAAAAAAAGAAAAAAGAGGACCCAGTTGATAAATTGGCATCAGATCTAGCACAAACAAAAGTTAATGATACTCCAGCTGCTGACCCTGTTAAAAGGCTGAAAAATCTTAAGAAAAAAATTAGAGAAATAGAATCAATTGAAGCTAGATTATTATCAGGAGAATTAAAAAGTCCTGAAAAAGATCAATTAGACAAAGTTGCTAGGAAACTAGATATATTGTATGAAATAAAAGAAATTGAGAAGAATCTGTAAGTATAAAGATTTAATATATTTTAATAGTAAGTATACTTTATTTTTAAATTTTACAAATCATTGTTTGTGAATATTTGGCTTATATATCGTAGGCTTATTAATAAGTAAGAATGTTAATTTTGGTAAAAAAAGATGATGTTTGTGTATTAGAATATTTGTGAAACATTATAGATGTTTAAAAGATATAAGAGATAATGCAATGATGCATTTTGTAATTAAAAATTTAATGACAAAGATTTATTGTGACTGTTAAGTAATTAAGTGATAATTAAACACAGATTTTTATGTTAGAATGTAAGATTTTAAATAAGCTCTGATAAGTCATCCCACTGAACTTATTGATAAGCATAGATATACTAGTAAGCAGGGCTTAGATTAAGATAAAAATAATAATAATTTTATCCGTAGATACAACTTTTTCATTTTAATGCGTTCAAGAATTGTAGCAGAGTTGGCAATGGTATTCTTTATGTACAACATGAATATGAACAATTAATTTTTATATCAAATTATTATTTCAAACACTATATATAGTACATGTTTATAATTGAGTTTTATCATTTTCACTAAATATAATTAATTACGGAAACAGCCTCTTGTGAATAGGTCAACATCTTTCAATAAAAAAAAGTCGAAATCAGCTTCGACTTATTCGGAATTAAATATGAAAAACTAGCAACTGATAAGGGTTAATACTGACAAGGAGAACCCGCGCATTGCTCGTCTGGGATTTTGATGAAATTTGACACAATGGTAGATTTTATGCCCAAAAATTAATTAAAGTTTGCATTTAAGCAGCGCACTGTTGTACACCATCCTTACACATAGCATGTAGCGTTCTTTTTTATCAGCGGGAGATTGTCCGAGTGGTAACGTCGGCGAATTCTAATTTTTGCGTCTATGGTCGAGAGTTCGAATCCCACTCAAGGTTTTTATTTTTTTTTACTATTTTCATTTCATATTTATAACTGCATGAGTTAATAATATTCACTCACAATTTCCTTACTAGGGTGATTTACTTTAATTTTCACAGAGTCTTTTTTTATACTTCTATTCAGTATGAACTAGGCTCATATCTAAATTCCTGTTTTTCCTATTTTTAAAAAATTCGAGAATAACAAAAAACATGTAATTTTTCTTTAGATACTAACTATTTCGTAAAAAAAAAATTCTAAATCTTTTTTAAATTTTAAAAATTCAAAAACCATTCGAAAGATGGTTGGGTTTCGACTTGATTAGTTTTTGGTAAAGATTCCCTGGCACAATTTCTTGTAATTAAATGTTGAAAGAAAAACCTATTTTTATGAAACTTTTTTTGACAATAGATATCATCATGGTCTTATAGAACATACTGACGTATACGGCCGTATGAGAAGTAGTTTAAATTTTAAAATTCACACAAGTTTGAAAAAATATAGTCAAAATTTATGTCAAAAGTTACTTTTGTGATGTGATAACTCAATCAAATCAATTAAAAATGCCTTGATATTAGCAAAAAAGTAAATGAACAGTCTACAAAACTTCTCTAGTTTTGTAAAATATGTTACTATTCTTTTATATCATTAAATAATATCTGACAGCATTAGAAACTTCTCGTCCAAATTTAAGCTCATATTGCCGAATCGATTTTAAAAAATCAAAAACTGTTCGAAAGATATTAGTTGGGAATGATACTGATTAGTTTTAGGTGAAAATTTACCGTGCCGTTTTCTTATAATTCGTTGTTGAAAAAAAAAAAAATTGAGCCGATTTTAATGAAACTTTTTTTGATGATATATATTATGGTCTTATACAACTTATTGAAATATTACGGCCTTACGACAAGTAGTTTAATTTTAAAAAATCAAAGTTTGAGAAAATGAGTGGTTTTTTTTTTGACGTTTGTTAAAATTAAAATTAGACGATTTACTTCGTATAACGATAGAGTACTTGGTCTTAATAAACAATCTAAACCATTAAAGTACTACGGAAACTGATTCAAATATAAAAATTATTGATTTTTGAACATTTGCTTTTAGAAAATACTCCAAGTTAACGTGTTCGTTCGCTTTCAATCATATGTAATAAATCCACTTGGAATACTTTTAATCACCCATAAATTAATTTATTTTTATTGATTAGATTGATTAATTACACATATCGGGAAGTTCATGTAACTTGCCTCAAGGCAGTATACCAATACCAACCAGTTATAAACTTAGTTTAGATACAAATTAATTGGATTTTATCCTCTAAAATATGTTTCTGAAAATGATAAAATTCAACACAGTAATATAGTTCATAAGAAATATTGCAAAAGGCCTCTTCAACTCTTCTCTATTTTCTGTAATATGAACAGAATATTGCTTATTTGATACAATTATCTTTATTATCAAATATTATGGCTGTTAATATGCCAAAATGTTATTGCAAAGTTTTTTAACTGAACTTTAAGCATTTAATAATAGGTTTTCTTAGTCATATAAAGATGTCCGTCTGTTTATAAGCATTTATTTCTTCTATATATTTCCAACCCGGATAGAGAATAAATAACAAGTAATATCATTAAATATATTATTGTTATGTACATGTTGAAAACGGAATTCAATTTGATGCACCAAATAATTTCGATTTATATTTAATAAACCCATACTCTTCTTTTATCTATGAGACAGTCTGTAAAATTTAGTTGGAAATCATGAAAATCAATATATTAAATGTTATATCAATTTTTATTGCGTAATCGGTTCATAATCGAAACCCAATTAATAATTATTTCTAGCAAAATACTTCAACTAGCTGGAAATGTATGAATATTGTGCATTGAATGTATATATGCAACAAAGAGAAACTAATTCACTGCCATTGTTCTATACTAAATACAATTTTAGATGTATAATTAATTATACAAATTAATTTAGCTGCAACTTAGATCTGCATTATATTTCAATTATATTAGAAAAACATACAACTTCTTTTTATACCAGATGTTGCAAATACTGAACCCTTTTCTATGTGTAATTATAGTTTACGTATATTATTACATTTTAAACAATAATATTCATAATAATAGTTATTTATGATATAAATATAATTGACAGTTTAATTTGTTCATCGCATGTTATCAACAATCTTTTAGTAGATTTTGGGAATACATTTAATGTAAAGTTTCATACGCCAAACTTTACACAACAGCACTCGTGCAACGTTTGGCTTACTGATTATTTTCACTGTGTACTTATCATATGAGGAGTAGGTAACCAGAGTGGATCGTCCCAAATACACCTGAACGCTATCAAACTGTTTCGAAAAATTTGCTATTTTTTCAAGTTTTTATATTATCTCCAATAACTTACTACTTACCATTCATCTTTATATTATTTTATATGATTTTTCGATTATATAAATAAAATCAAAGCCCCATAGTACACTCTGGGTTTTGGCAATATTATTTAGTGAAAAACTTATCATATTCTCGTCGTATCTCAGTTTTCCCCAATATATGGGTAGACATTCCCATTGGTTGCTAACTTCTCACATGAAAGCATAATATGAAATATGTATATTAAATATTGCTACGATTTTTGAACTGATATTATGTGACAGATGCATCTTATTACTTTAGTAACTTTACTTTCAGGTATTGGCCGAGTTAGCACTGATTGTATATATTCAAGTAATTTAATATTTGTCAAAAACTGCAATGTACAAATTTCATAATTTTGTTTTGCTTAAGACCAACTCTTATATGTTTGTATAAATGTAATCGATATCCATAAATAAAGTATGTCTACTTATATTATTTTACATTAAAATGAAATTAAAAATTTATTCGTTAGTGTTTTAATTGCTATATAGATGTTGCATATTGCAATTGCAATTGCAAATGAATAATGTTTATTGATCAACTTTCTATAGGATAGTTTATCTATATGGTTATAGTAATGGGTCGAAAATCTAAAATGAAAATTTTTGCACGTTTCGAAGGTTTCTGAACATTTTGGCATACCTTTTAATTAGAAAAAAGGGTTTTTTTTTGTATGCCCGCATTTTTTCGTTTTACGTTTTTGGGCGCACGAATCAACCCGATCAACCGCGATTTGATTGACTGGTTCAAAAAATATTCGATTCTTATTGATAGAGAGATGTGCTGATTAGTTTTTGGCAAAGGCAGGTCCAACCGTCACGGAGATACGGAGCAAAGAATGCAGAAAATGCAAATCGAGATTTTGAGAGCAAAGCATCCGATTTGAATGATTCCAAAAATTGTCTGCTTGTACTATTGCTTTTGGATTTTTTTTTCAAAAATTTTTTTTTTTGCATATCGGAAATAATTCAGATTATAATTTTAATTCTTGCTAAAGTTTTAAAACTCATACTTTAAATGAATAATTTTATATTTGCAATTCAGTTTACATAATTCTTATAAATATTTGTCTTATTTATATTGTGTAGACAATGTTATAGCAGTATTTATAATTATCCATTTGAAAAAATTTAATATTCCTCGAACATTTCGTTACGATACGGAAAGTTCCAGCAACTCATTCGAAAAGGTTGGAAACCACTGAATGAGTATTCTCTAGGGTCAATGTCACTTTGACAGATCGAGGCGTTAATTCGTTTGACATTTTTTATATGTTGGTACACAGGTTGTATATTTTGTGATTGTCAAATTAGCAGCTTTAGCTCCACGTGAATAATAATAATATTTAGTCATTAAAGGAGTAATAAACTAAATAGAAGATTTTGCATATGTCTGGATTCGAAACTGAAAGAAATTTCGAGTGTCTCAAAATTTGTATTTTATTTTGTCAACATTTCTTATGCAACATTTCTTATGCAGTTCAATGACAGTTGTGCATTGTCAATTACATCGGTCCGGTCAATTTTGTTAATATTGGTCAACATGAAGTTAAATTATATAATATATTATAATTATAATATTTTTATAGATGTACAATGAATTATTTATAATTGTCCATTATGGCATTATCGGGGTATAATAAAATATATATGAATAATTCATAGTGTTCAAGAAAACTATAGTGATATGTTACTTTTAAAGAATAATATATTTAAACATTTTAATATGTTTATTTTAAAAAGAGTGTTTATATAAAAAAATAACTTAAATATGTCTTATACTGAACTTGAAAGTGGTTATCAAGGTCTAAGGGAATCAAACAGACCGGCACAATTTTTTGTTGGTGAAGATGGAAATTTTGTGTCAATTGATAACAGCAAGGTAAATCTTTATAGATGATATAATATAACAAATAGTTGATCGTTTGGGCGGTTTTGTCAGTAATATTTTCTAAGAAATATTCTGTAAACTAACATAGCCACTTAATTATTTGACAATCTATAAGTTTTATTTATGAACTCGAATTATTTAATTTTGTTTTTTTTATCCCTTATCTTGACAATTACCACGTTTAATTGGCATGTGGGCACATCATAATAATCACATTTATAAGAATAAAAATAAAGTGGTGAGCTCAATCGTCATCAATTACATTTTAATTGTTACATGAATAAGAATTCATAATAATATATTGAACATAGTATTGAACTAAATTTACTTCCAGGGATTATTTAAAAAATATTCCATAACAAAAATGTAATATTTGGTCAGAAGAGTTCATTATTTCTATGTCAGCTACATGAATGTAGTATCATCGAGATATATAATAAATAACTTTTGAAATTATATCAATAATTGATTTGGATGTAGAGTACAGAAAGCTATGTGCTTAAAATCAACTTGCAGTTAAGCATATTTTTTATTTTAATTTTTTCTGATAAATATTTATATTACATTGAACAATCATTGTTTTTGTTTAAGAAAGTTATCTATTATATCATATTTTGGATAAATAAATGTCTATATTCTATTCTATTCTATTCATATTTCTCTGAGATACTATTGTTTTATAATCTCACAAACAATCACTAAAACAAATATATATCTCAACAAACACTCAATAGTTAAGCATATTATATCAAGTCATCAAACAAACAGTGTCTATTATTCTTGCTCCACATATTAATTTGGAAAATAAATGTTTTAATAAAGTATAAGAGCAATTAAGACTTATTCAAAGATATTTGCAAAATTGAAAGTCAAGTTTGATAGGAACGTTACAAATATGGTTCATATATAATAATTTGATTTTATCTTAGAATAACTAGGCTTAGTTGATATGTGTAGTGTTTTCTATAAAATCTAATACAGTACCTCAACATAATACTGTGAAATCATTGTCTTAATTTTATTCTTATTGTTAAATAAGCCTTATATGTTATATTTAAATTTTCCATTTTATTTATTCAGGCCACTGAATCTGATTTATGCTCAGATTCAGATGCAGAAGGTTCCATGGCAGAAGGCAAGCAAGTTGTTGTCGGAGTATGTGCCATGGCAAAGAAATCACAATCAAAACCCATGAAAGAAATTCTAACACGATTAGAGGAATTTGAGTTTCTTAAAATCATTGTTTTTCCTGAGGAAGTAATTTTAAAGGTATACGTATATATATATATATATATATTGAAAAAATTGGGTCTGTAAAATGTAATTTTAATTTGTTATATATATTTGTTATTTGCAATTCACATAATTCACAGATTATATATAACTATGAAAATAATGTATGTTCGCTATAAAAATATATTTATATGCATATGATTGTATATATTATTAATTTATTTTAGACTCCTGTTGAAGACTGGCCAGTTTGTGATTGTTTAATATCATTTCATTCCAATGGATTTCCTTTAGATAAAGCTATTCAATACGCCACCCTTCGAAATCCATATGTAATCAATAATCTTCATATGCAATATGATATTCAGGTAGGAGAGTTCTTTTTAATTACATATAATGATGGTTAAAAACATTACGTAAATATTAGAATCAAGTTTTTTAATTTTAGTTTTTTGTGCACTTGAAAATTTTATCATACTTTATTTGATTTCGAAGTTATTTATTCAATATCAAACATATATTAGCTAGTTTAAAATTGAAGTATCATGAGGTTCATATATATGTATATATATATATTGAATAGATAAGTCCTGGATTTTTTCAATATATTGATTGTTTCTTTTCCGAACAGTAAATCCAATAATAAAAAACAATTTGTGTTTTGAAGATGTTTAATACAACGTTTCGGAACTAGGTACGTTCCATCATCAGGTTTATTCTGTCAAATACAATGTTTTTTAAAAATATTGATTAACATTAATTAACGATGGTCAATACAGATTAATTAGAAATTTTTTTTTATAAAGGAATGGATAATGCACCGGGGTAAAGAGTAATAAGAATTAACTAAAAAAGGTTTTATATAAAATTGAGAAGCAAAAATTATTTAACTGTAATAATTTATATATCCATATCACTAATATTTTAAAAAAATGATTTTTTATGGCTCTTGTTTGGTAATTTACGAAAAAAGAGGAAATATTGCTTTCGTAAATGTTGAGAAATATTATGTATATATATATACATGCACATGTATATGCACACCTACATACTCATACATACATATGCACATATCTATATATTAATGTATCCACAATTATATACATGAACATATATGCAAGTGCATATATAGTGTACACACAAAAACATACATATAAGCACATATATGGATGTACATATATTATAACATATATACATGTATATATATATACATATTCAAAAATTATTAGGATTAATTGTTTTTAATCAGGTTTAAAAATTTAGATAGGAGTCATGAATGATATTGTGATCTGATCTTTTATTAACACTATTTGACGAATTCAAAAAGATTAAACTGCTTTCAGAAAAAAGTCTTTTAAAAGTACAATCCTCTCTATATAAAATATTGAGTACAAAGGTGAAATTATGTGAGTTTTCGATCGAATGTTGGACAAGAGTACTTTGGAAATTTCTGCTTTTATGATGAGTTACCCCGGTACATAATCCATTCCTTTATAAAAAATTTTTTCTAATCAATCTGTATTGACCATCGTTAATTAATGTTAATCAATATTTTTAAAAAACATTGTATTTGACAGAATAAACCTGATGATGGAACGTACCTAGTTCCGAAACGTCGTATTAAACATCTTCAAAAAACAAATTGTTTTTTATTATTGGATTTACTGTTCGGAAAAGAAACAATCAATATATATATATATATATATATATATATATATATATATATATATATATTTATTTATTTATATATATTAAATTATGATTTATATTGATAAATTTATACAAACTTATAGAATTTTATTTAATGAAAACTAAACATTATTTTTTAAAAAACGATACAAAGTTAATGAGTTTTAATTTAATCATGAGAATAAGCACTAAAACTAAAATTGATTTATGTACATTGGCTCAACTATTGTTCTAAGAATTTGTTTTATCTTCTTTGTTTACCCAAATCATTTCAAATTGATATCACATATTTAAATATGTTATTATATTGGTTTAGTGTTGATAAGTTTCTTATAGGTGCATATTTAGATTAAATGTAAATATTTAATGTTCTTATACATAATATTATTAATTCTAAGATATGGTTGAAATATAATATTTATGATACTAAAAATAATTTTAAGTACTATTCTTTCATGTAATAAAAAAGATTACATAAAGAATTTTTCAATGTGACAAAAATTTTTTATTGCATAAAATTTAAATTCAATCTTTAGATTCTATATCCTATATCGATAGGTCAATTTTTTTAAATACAAAACTTTGTTCACTTCTGGATGCATTTCCCAAAGTGGTAATAAAAAACATATTTCCAATTGCTATTGTAAAACGTTTTTAATAAGATCAAACCATGAAGCGTAAAATGATTTTCAGTTTCAACTAAATTGTTATATTGAAAATGTTGAATTTTTAATTATCATAAATATAAATTAAGTATGCATAAATTCTTGAATCGTCATCTGTTTCAAGTTCAAATAAGTTTAAAATATTATAAAAAAAACTTATTTAATGTTGTTTACTTTTTTTGAATACGAATTATAAACTGTCTTGCCGATCCACTTGCAAAAATTAATCATAAGTTAATTAATACAAATTTATCATATCACCTACTGTTGAAACGTTGTGTAACAATTTTATATAGATAGAAAAACATAATATTAAAAAATTATTATATAATATTAAATATAAAACATTAACTTACCCTACGGGAAGTTAATAAATAATTAATATATAAAATATAATAATAAATAATTATTGCTGATAATTATAGTAAATTTTTATGGTTGTTTCAGGATAGAAGAAAAGTATATTCAATATTAGATAGCGAAGGAATTGAAATACCACGGTATGCAGTATTAGACCGAGATTCACCTGATCCAAAACGTAAGTATCTTGCATTTTTTACCCCGAGAATACTATATAATATCTATTAGAGCGGGCCGATTTGTATGGGCCAAAAAAGTCGCTTAGGCGCATATGATTTTTGGATTCTAGGGATCAAAATAAGACACTTTGCTGAAGATACCATACCTCTAAAATGAATTCTGATGGCATTCGCTCAAAAATAAGGGTTGAATTTTGAAAAAATTTGTTTGGACCCATTTCGAGTGCATCAATAGCGTCCAAATGTAAGACCTACCCCCACTAACTTTGGAAGGCTGATCTACCCATGCCCATGGTTTTGGCAAACTGCCTTCTAAACTCTGTCTATTTTTTTAAAAAAACATCATACTTTTTGACTAACATCCTAGCCTTCATTCAATGTAAATATCAAATATCTAATTATTGTCCTGAATCAACATACTTTCAAACAATCATTCATATTATTAAATAAACTTTTGGATTATTCATTAGCGAGTCCTAAAATTAAATGAAAATTTATTTCAAATTAAAATGTTGTGTGCCAAATTCCAGTGTGGCTTGCTATTATAAATTTGTAATATCAATTTATTATGTTACGATTAATAAATTATACTTGGTTGATTGAGATATTATATAATGCTAGATACCATAAAAAATATATATTATTTCCAATGGCTTGGCAATGGCTGTTAAGTTTGTACAATTTAAATTTTGCCTAATCAAATCGCAAAAGATTTTTTTTTATTCACTACTACGTTGCAAAAACAACTCAATAGTTGTTTTTCAATTCGTTCTGAATAGTATTAACAATATTTTAGTGATAATAATATAAACTTAACTATTTTCTGATAAATAATAACTAAGACATTTCAATCTTCATAAGGAAAATTGTTGATTTAAATCAAGTGGCGGTTTTCTCTTCAGTCTACGACGATAGTTCTCTGTTAGTAAGGAGTTTGCTAGTGAATTTGGACGACTGTTGAACTTGTTTCTATATTTATGCGCTGGTTTTGTTATTACATATTTTATGGTAGATGTAGCAAAAGCGACCTTTGATACAAATTCTGAATATCATTTTTTTTTCAAGCTTTGTTGAATTTTTAAAGTTGAACCACTTGTCGTAAGGCCGTAATATTTCAGAATGTTTTTTAGAACCATAATAAATATCAGCATAAAAAGTTTCATCGAAAATGTTTATTTAACAATTAAAACGAAAAAACGGCTCGGCCAATCTTTGTTGAACACTAATCAGCATGACTCCCAAATAACATTTTATCTTTAGTTTTTGAATTTTCAGAATCGATTCAGAATTTTTGGATATAACGTGGACAAAAATAATCACTTCCCTGCTAACTACAAAGAAACGACTCGGCCGATCGTTGAACCAAACTGAGAAACGATAGTTCTTATCGAGTTACATTGAATGGTCGAGAAATCATAAAATTAGCAAATCGGATTATAGGGCGAAAACAAACTTCTTCGGGAAGTTAAAAATTTAAATTGTATTATTTTATTTTTTTGAAAAGATATTTTAAAAAATTTTGTTGTTTGTTCTTCATTAGTTAATTTGAATATAAAGAATAGTCAACTTTGTATTCAAATTAACTAATGAAGGACAAACAACAAAATTCTATGTACAAATTGAAATCGTTCGAAAAATTCTAAAATGTACTTGCATATATAAAAAACTACACTTGGAAGGCTATTTTCAATGAGAAAATGAATTTACTTTTGTCTCATTTAGTTTGTATATATTCAGTATCATTTCGACATATAAGGTTGTCAAATATCTCCCTTCCGCCTTTTTGTATTATAAACCAAGAGCAAAAAAGCGGAAGGGAGATATTTGACAACCTAATATTTTATTTACTGCTGGTAATATTTCATCACTAAGTATTATCAAATATTTGTTAACAATTGTTTTGTATATTATTTTTTAGATCACGAATTAATTGAATCTGAGGACCATGTAGAAGTTAATGGTGTTGTATTTAATAAGCCTTTTGTGGAAAAGCCGGTGTCTGCTGAAGATCATAATATTTATATTTATTACCCAACGTCGGCCGGAGGTGGCAGTCAAAGATTATTCAGAAAGGTAATATATAATAATATTTTGAATATATATATATATATATATATATATATATATATATATATATATATATATAACTTAACATTAACTTTCTGGAGAATTATATCACATCGTAATTGGTCTCTAGTATTTTGTAATAATACAACAATTTCTATGTCTTCGATGATTTTTTAATTTCCACCACACCAAAAAATCCGATTTGCTAAATGTATGTTTTCTCGACGTTTCAAGTCCTTTTTAAATCGAATGAGACCAAAGTATTATGTGTGTGTGTATAAAAGTCGATTTTTTAATTATTCATCCACGTTTTCTTGTAAACATCTGCACCGATTTTAAAAATTTAAAAGCCAGCATAATTAGTTTCGCCCAATGATCTGCCAAGATGTTTCTCTGTAATTAGCAGAAAAGTGAAGATATTTTCGTCCATGTTTTAGCCCGTAATTTGAATTAAACATTTAAAAACAGTTCGAAAAATATTGGTTGGGAATCGCGTTGATTAGTTTTTGGTAAAGATCATCTGGGTTCTTCGTAATAAAATGTATAATAAATTTTTTTTGAGCGATTTTAATGATTTTTTTATACATACTAAATTTTAATTTTGAGAGAACGGAGCGTCCGATTTGAATGATTCTAATAACATATCATTTGTATTGATATAATGAAGAATAGTTAATTTTATGGGAAGAGAAGTCTAAGGGTTTCTAGATCCAATAAACAAAGTTTTGTAAAAATCTTTAAATCATTTTTCAAATATCCAAATCTAATTCTTTGCATTCTATTACGAGTCCATAAATTTAGCATGACATAAAATGATTCCTTGCTGAAGTAAGTTTTGACTGAAATAATGTAGTCTTACAAATATTTGTTTATATTTGATCCGTGGTATGAAATACTGAATGTTTAGTTGTACTATTTTCTTCCAAAACTTTTCGAATCTTTAGTAAATTAATCAGGTTTTAAAATTCTATTAGCTGATACGATACTGTTTTTTTTGAGATCTTTGTTTTATATATATTTTTTGCTTCCTCTTTTATAGTATGACAATTAGTATTAGTTTCATAACTAAATTTGCTTACATAAATAATTCATATTCATTTATGCAATACTTAACTTACTTTATGCAAATATTATTGTATTGCATCTGTTTTTATTTAACAGATTGGTAGCAGAAGTAGTGTATATTCACCAGAGTCAAGGGTCAGGAAAACGGGATCCTTCATTTATGAAGATTTTATGCCCACAGACGGTAGGCCTTTTTTATAGTATATTTGATGAACTCTGTGGTAACTAACGAAACTCATTTTCACGTACTCATTTGAATGTTAGTTCTCTAGTATATTTATCTCAACTAATACTAATTATGATCTAATTTTTATTATATTTAGATGAAATGATTTTATGTTGTATCCTAAACTCTTGGTTTAACAATATTTTTATATTATACATGATGTCTCAAAACTCGACGTAAAGGCGAAACGAGGTGATAGTATTGATCGCAACTATCATAAAAAAAAATAGAAAAAAAAAGATCACATGTAGTTCGAAAATTATGAGCTTTTAAGTGCAGTCTAGAGCTTTCTCAAACTTTGATCATTTTTCGGTTATCGTAGTTAGTTTTTGTTATTTTTGTTTATTTAAACTTTGAAACCGTAACCGTATTATATTTTTCTACTCACATTTTTTTTCATTATGAAACTTTCAAGTACCGCTTTTTAATCCTGATTAAATTGCGGCAACTCTTGATGAAATTGCAGGGTCTCTCAAAGTCAGCTTACTTTGAAAATTTCGAATTCATGGTTTATTAAAAAATCTTAATTAATGAAAACATGGGGCATTTAATTTATTTTAGTTTTAATGTTTAATTAACTTCCCGAAGGAGAAGTTTATGTTTTCATCAAAAAATCCGATTCTCTAATTTTATGTTTTCTCGACGTTTCAAGCCATTCTGAATCGAATGAGACCAAATTTGGAAAAAGTATGTGTGTGTGTGTGTGTGTGTGTGTGTGTGTATGTGCGTGTGAACAGATTTTTTGCCGTAAATCGACGTTTTCTCGAAAACGGCTGGGTCGATTTCAAAAATTTAAAAGCCATTCGATGTATCGCGACGAGAACTATTGTCTGTCAGTTTTGTGCGACGATCGGCCAAGCCGTTTCTTCATAAATGGCAGAAAAGTGAAAAATTTTTCGTCTACGTTTTAGCCCGCAATTCTGAATCGATTTTGAAAATTCAAAAACCGTTCGAAAGATATTGATTGGGAATCGTGCTGATTAGTTTTTGGTAGAGATCGGCCGGGCCGTTTTCTTGTAATAAAGTTTTTAAAAAAAAAAATTCGACGATTTTTATGATTATTTTTTTGACGGTAGATACCATAGTCTTCTAGATCATACTAAAATATTACGGCCCTACGACAACTGGTTCAGCTTTAAAAATTCGTCAAAGTTTGCAAAAATCAGTATGGTCTTTTTGGCATTTGTCAAAATTAGACTTTTGATCGACGTTTTCTCAGAAACGCCTGAACCGATTTTAGAAATTTAAAAGCCATTTGATGTATTTCGGTGAGGACTATCGTTTGTCAGTTCTGTGCAACGATCTGCCAAGCCGTTTCTTTGTAATTTGAAAAAAACTTTTCGTCCACATTTAAGCTCATCCTACCGAACGATTTTAAAAAATCAAAAACTGTTCGAAAGATATTAGTTGGGAATGATACTGATTAATTTTAGGTAAAAATCTACCGAGCCGTTTTCTTGTAATTAACTGTTGAAAAAAAGTGTTAAATTTTCGTCGACATTTAAGCTCATCCTACCGAACCGATTTTAAAAAATCAAAAGCTGTTCGAAAGATATTAGTTGGGAATGATACTGATTAATTTTAGGTGAAAATCTACCGAGCCGTTTTCTTGTAATTAACTGTTAAAAAAAAGTGTTGAATTTTCGTCGACATTTAAGCTCATCCTACCGACCCGATTTTAAAATATCGAAAACTGTTCGAAAGATATTAGTTGGGAATGATACTGATTAATTTTAGGTGAAAATCTACCGAGCCGTTTTCTTGTAATTAACTGTTGAAAAAAAGTGTTAAATTTTCGTCGACATTTAGGCTCATCCTACCGAACCGATTTTAAAATATCAAAAACTGTTCGAAAGAAATTAGTTGGGAATGATACTGATTAATTTTAGGTGAAAATCTACCGAGCCGTTTTCTTGTAATTAACTGTTGAAAAAAAGTGTTAAATTTTCGTCGACATTTAAGCTCATCCTACCGAACCGATTTTAAAAAATCAAAAGCTGTTCGAAAGATATTAGTTGGGAATGATACTGATTAATTTTAGGTGAAAATCTACCGAGCCGTTTTCTTGTAATTAACTGTTGAAAAAAAGTGTTAAATTTTCGTCGACATTTAGGCTCATCCTACCGAACCGATTTTAAAATATCAAAAACTGTTCGAAAGAAATTAGTTGGGAATGATACTGATTAATTTTAGGTGAAAATCTACCGATCCGTTTTCTTGTAATTAACTGTTGAAAAAAAGTGTTAAATTTTCGTCGACATTTAAGCTCATCCTACCGAACCGATTTTAAAAAATCAAAAGCTGTTCGAAAGATATTAGTTGGGAATGATACTGATTAATTTTAGGTGAAAATCTACCGAGCCGTTTTCTTGTAATTAACTGTTGAAAAAAAAATTTAAGCCGATTTTCATGGAAATTTTTTTGGCGATATACATCATGGTCTTATAGAACTTACTGTAATATTACGGCCTAACGACAAGTAGTTTAATTTTAAAAATTCGTCAAAGTTTGCTAAAATTATTATCGTTTTTTTTTAAAGTAGGATTAATGAAGTATATTATTTACACATTTTTTTTGATTAAGTCGTTTATTTACACATTTCGGGAAGTTCATGTAACTTGCCTCAAGGCTAAATACCAAACCAACTAGTTCTGAAATTTTTGTTACTTCAAGTCAAAACATTGTGTAATAATACCGTATTAATATTTTTGTAAAAAAACATCGTTTAATAACAAAAAAAAATACTGAAAATTCTCATTTTTTCGTGCCTCCAAGTACCCCTAACTCCTTAAGTTTCTATATATTTTCTTGATTTTTTTTTGTTTTTGCATACTTTTATTGTCAATCAAAATTAAATACATTTTTTAAGGCAATGTGATGTTGGTGTTAATGCATAATAAGAGATTATCTCCTATGAGATATCTCACTTTTATTTTTTTATTTTTGATATTTATTTAAGGTCGTATGGCCATTTTTTTTCAATCTGCGTGTGGGATATTCCTCGCTTAACTCTTTTAAATAAATGTTTGGGTGACCTGGTAGTTTTTCATGGTATTTTTTGCTCCTTTCTTTTAGCATCTCATTAATAGTTTTTATTTTTAAGTCTTTATGTAGGGTGTCATTTGTAACATACCAATGCGTTCACAATGCATTTTAAAATTTTTGATTGCGCTACTGGTATTTTTTTATATTTGAATTGCTTGCGCACGCCCATAGCTCAATGCCGTATGTCCAGATTGAGATAATTATTGTTTTATATATAAGGAGTTTGTTTTCATAGCACATATTTGAACACCTGCCAATTTGCCAATACAACTCTTTGAACTTCTTCTCTATCTGTTTTCTTTTCATTTGACGCACATCAAAATGAAAAGAAAACAGATAGAGAAGAAGTTCAAAGAGTTGTACATTGAACAAAAATAATGGAAATTTAACACAATCACCGAAAAATGGTCACGGCTTGACCTAAGTACATGAAATTTTTTCATCATAGTTATGATCAATACAATTTCTGCTTGACGTCGAGTTTTTGGACACTCTGCAAAATAATATATTATATCAAATTTTTACAATATAGCATTGATGCCTTTTTTACAGCTAATATAGATTTTAATCAGGAAGTTTATATTCATTTCCTGGAATGATTTTATGATCATAAAAATAGGAAAGATTTGTTCAAAACACACTATATTGATTACAGCCTGATCAACTATTTTATGGTTTACATTACTTCTAATAATTAAAAAAAATCATGAAATATTGAGCTTAACTTTCTATACTTTCTAAACTTTCAACACAAAATTTGATGTGCATTATTCAAAATTAAGTGCAGATTTCATGCTTTATTAAATCAAAATATAACTTCAATCAAATAACTATTCTGTGAGATTTGTAAGGATATGAAGCAACTATTGGTATTATCAAATTTTCATAATTTTTTCACGGTGATTATTAATAAATAAATTGATTCTAATCCTTATAGTGACATTGCTTGATCAATTAAAAAGTGAAACATTTGTCAGTTTTTTTTCGAATATTATTCTAACAATAGTTCAATTTAATGCAAATAGTAATGATTATGCGGACATTTTAATTATAGTAACTTGATTAGTATATTAGAAAAGTACGGAATTTCAAAAAAAAAAAATCAGAATTTCAAATTAAAAAATACTTATTAACTATATTACACAATGGGAATGAGATGAACATTATCTCATCGGCATAAATAAATTTACATCTTTCATTTTTTTGTCATTTTCAATGACACACTTCAGAAAAATCACGAAAAGGTTGCATTATAATATTTATTAAATTAACATTTTTCATGTATAATAATACTAATAATAATAATAATAATAATAATAATAATAATAATAATAATAATAATAATATGATCTTCAGTTTTATATTCATGCAACATAAAACGAATGAAGTATTAATCAACGATGCAATTTGTTTAATCTTTATAATTAATCTCTATTAATTTTATTTGATGGCGTTTTATGTAATTTAAATTATTTAACTTTTTTGTAGTGGACGTATTTTTTTAAATTCAATATATGTTTCTCAAATAAGCATAACATTTTCTTGGTATACTATAGAAATAACATAGTTTTAAAATTTGCATTGAATCATTTGAATGTTGAGTTTGATATTTAGTGTTGCTACTAATACTTATTAATATCATATAATTAATATAACAGATTAGTATAAGATAAACATCGGTATACATATAATATATCACTGAAAGGCGAAATAATATTGACATTATTTTAATTTCTATCTTAGTTTTTATATTTGGTTCTTCCGGTATTCCAGATTTTGTTTAACTAAATAAAAAGAAAAATAGTATTCATTAATGTATATATTTCCTTTCTTCGTACATGAACCGTTTTTTTGTCAGTTTTGGTAAATTAGTATAAAATATTCCTTTCCAAACGCCATAATTGATTGTTTATTTGTTCGAATATGACTGATGGATGAAATAAGGGACTAAGCTTACAAATAAGGTATCAGTAGTAAAAATCATTTAGTCGCTTTGGTTTATCTAACATATCGGACTGATCTGCCATCGTACAGGGACAGATGTCAAAGTTTACACTGTGGGCCCGGACTACGCCCACGCTGAGGCCCGCAAGAGTCCGGCACTCGATGGGAAAGTGGAGAGGGACAGCGAGGGAAAAGAAATCAGGTGATTAAAACACACACTATATATATATATATATATATATATATAATATATATATATATATATATATATATATATATATATATATATATATATATATATATATATATCTTCTATATATATAAAAATAAGTCGGGTTTTCCTTCCTGACGAAATAACTCCAGAACGCACGAACCGATTTCGACAATTTTGCATTCGTTGGAAAGGTCTCGGGCTCCGCAAGGTTTATAGCTAAGAAAATTAGTTGTGCATGGCATCGTGCCTTAATGCAAGCTGCTGGAACTTCACGCACCGTTATTAAAAATTCGATTGATAAAAATAATCAATAACTGTTTTAAATAATTTCAAATAGATTATTTCTATATATATAAAATAAGTCGGGTTTTCCTTCCTGACGAAATAACTCCAGAACGCACGAACCGATTTCAACAATTTTGCATTCGTTGGAAAGGTCTCGGGCTCCGCAAGGTTTATAGCTAAGAAAATTAGTTGTGCATGGCATCGTGCCTTAATGCAAGCTGCTGGAACTTCACGCACCGTTATTAAAAATTCGATTGATAAAAATAATCAATAACTGTTTTAAATAATTTCAAATAGATTATCTTCTATATATATAAAAATAAGTCGGGTTTTCCTTCCTGACGAAATAACTCCAGAACGCACGAACCGATTTCGACAATTTTGCATTCGTCGGAAAGGTCTCGGGCTCCGCAAGGTTTATAGCTAAGAAAATTAGTTGTGCATGGCATCGTGCCTTAATGCAAGCTGCTGGAACTTCACGCACCGTTATTAAAAATTCGATTGATAAAAATAATCAATAACTGTTTTAAATAATTTCAAATAGATTATCTTCTATATATATAAAAATAAGTCGGGTTTTCCTTCCTGACGAAATAACTCCAGAACGCACGAACCGATTTCGACAATTTTGCATTCGTTGGAAAGGTCTCGGGCTCCGCAAGGTTTATAGCTAAGAAAATTAGTTGTGCATGGCATAGTGCCTTAATGCAAGCTGCTGGAACTTCACGCACCGTTATTAAAAATCCGATTGATAAAAATAATCAATAACTGTTTTAAATAATTTCAAATAGATTATCTTCTATATATATAAAAATAAGTCGGGTTTTCCTTCCTGACGAAATAACTCCAGAACGCACGAACCGATTTCGACAATTTTGCATTCGTTGGAAAGGTCTCGGGCTCCGCAAGGTTTATAGCTAAGAAAATTAGTTGTGCATGGCATCGTGCCTTAATGCATGAGTAATAAAAATAATCAATAACTGTTTTAAATAATTTTAAATAGATTATCTTCTATATATATAAAAATAAGTTGGGTTTTCCTTCCTGACGAAATAACTCCAGAACGCAAGAACCGATTTCGACAATTTTGCATTCGTTGGAAAGGTCTCGGGCTCCGCAAGGTTTATAGCTAAGAAAATTAGTTGTGCATGGCATCGTGCCTTAATGCATGAGTAATAAAAATAATCAATAACTGTTTTAAATAATTTTAAATAGATTATCTTCTATATATATAAAAATAAGTTGGGTTTTCCTTCCTGACGAAATAACTCCAGAACGCAAGAACCGATTTCGACAATTTTGCATTCGTTGGAAAAGTCTCGAGCTCCGCAAGGTTTATAGCTAAGAAAATAAGTGTGCATGGCATCGTGCCTTAATGCGAGATTGCCATTTCCAGTTCGCCTTGCGTTCGCAATGACAACTAACAAGCCGCAAGGCCAATCACTTAGTGTTTGCGGGATAAATTTCAAACAGATTATTTAGAAAATCATTATCTAACACATGGGCAGTTATACGTTGCCTGTTCACAAGTTGGAAAACCATCCGCTTTGTTTGTGTTAACGTCAGACCAAAAAACAAAAAATGTGGTTACCAAAGACCACTTTCATGAAACGGATAATTTGCGGATTTACTTTTATTCACTTAGAGAAGTTCAACTAAAAAACACTTCATTTTTGTAATCGAAATAAATTCATTCCTGTTGTGTAATAAAAAAAAATTTTCCTTTTTAAATATAAAACAAATAAAAAAATTCTTCATCTTTCTCACGAAACCATCTGGTGGCGAAACGGAGTTCGTCGGGTTTGCTGTATATATGTATGTTGAAAGTGTTTAAATTTGATGTTGAAATGTATGCTTAATTTCTTGGAGGGCGTAACATCGAGTAAAAAATATAAATAAGTAAAGATTTTTAAAACATCTTTATTTTTCCATACGTTTAGACGTAAAATTCTACGTCATCGTCAGTGGTTCTACAATTTAAAAAAAAAACAGAAAGTAACGCTAAGAACTAAATATACATAAGCAAAAATAAAAAGAAAAAGATTTAACTGAAGAGACAGACTAATTATATCTAAACCTTAAATTAAAATAATGCATAAAACATTACTTACTTTTCTTTGCTTCAAATTTTCGGGTAGTGCGGTTATTTGGACTAAATTTTAATTAGCATCGTTAGAAAGGCTAACCCATGCATGAATGCCTTGAATGTGTTCTACCACATGCATGGTCTAAAACTAAATTTTGGATAACGTAAGAAAAATTAATAGCCTTTCTAACGATGCTAATTTGGGTGACCCACTTTTTCCTATATTTTCGGAAAAACACGGTAAATACACTTTTGTGCAATCCAAAAAGAGAAATACTTGCAAACATAATTGCAAGAATCTGCTGTGATAAAAAGTTGAATTTTGGAATACCCTTGCAACTAAAAAAAATAAAGAATCATTTTCATTTTTAACTATTTTACAACCAAAAATAAAAACGTGGTTCATTTCTGTCCACCGCATTTTATATTTTATATAATCAAGGGTGTTCCATGGTGTAATGGTTAAGTTCCTCGTGAGTTCAAGTCCCACTCTAGACGACCTGACATCATAACCTGACATAACGGCGATAAGATTATTGATAAGGTAGTCATATCTAATAAATTTAATCACTTTTTTGTCACCGAAGCGTCTAAATTAACAAGCGCAATCAACTCGATCACCACTAGTTCGACTAAATCTTTATCCGCACGAAATAATTCTACATTCGTTCTTTATCCTGTAAATTTAGAAGAACTAGAGCAAACCTTTCTATCGATAAAAGTTACTAGTTCAGCGGGTCCGGATCAGATACCTAGTCTTATTCTTAAAGAATTCTATCCCTTTTTCTTAGATAATATTATGTTATGATTTAAATAAATGCTTCGATGAAGAAATATCCCACCTCAAGCATCACAAAGATTTTTTCCACTTCATAAGAAAAATAATAAAGACGATATAAATAGTTACCGTTCCATTTCCCTTTTGAACTCTTTCGATAAAATAATTGAAAAAATCTTGCATACTAGATTAACGTCTTTTCTCAATAAATATAATATTTTGTTCAAGAATCAGCAATAAATATAATATTTTGTTTCCGAAAGAACCATTCTACTTCCCACTCAATTTATAATTTAGTTCATAACATCATTGACTCCTTCGAAGAAGCCACATATTGTACTGCGATATTTTGCGATCTGTCCAAAGTTTTTGATAGTATTTCTCATCAAAGACTTCTTGACAAATTAGAAAATTGTGGTATTTGCGGACGTTCGCTCAAACTATTTGAATCTTACCTGTCTAATCGACCACAAAGCGTTTACTTAAATAAAGATCACGAGCAAATAATTTCGGATAAATTGACAAGTACATTGGGCGTGCCCCAAGGATCAATTTTAGGGCCTCTCTTATTTCTCATATATATTAATAATTTACCTCATTGTACAAATTTTTGTGATTTTATTCTTTTTGCTGATGATACAGCAAACATTAACTTTCATCAAAAACAATTCGAAACTTTTTGATATGGCTTCGTCCTCCTCAAATTACAACACTAGACACAAACTTATTAAGGCGCGTACATATAAATTAGCCAGCTCTTTCAATACGATCGACGGTCTAGGTATTCAGCTTATGAATAAACTTCCACTCAATATCCGAAACTTAGACAGCAAAAAATTTCATGCTTCCCTAGTTAAACTTTTTAAAGACTTAGCTTTTTATGACATTACTGAATTTTCTCAATTTCTATTTTCTTGCATATTCCTTATCCTGTATCTATGTAGTCTGACCATTTGATCGCCTGTACAACCATATTCTTTTTTTCATTTTTTTATTGCTATTTTATTAATTTAAATTTATTACGGTTTTAAATGAGTATAACTTTCAACCTTGTGCAAGAATTTTGAGCTTGACTGGTGGTCAAATAGACTTTAATAGGATGAACTTGATGATGAACATTGTATTTAATGTTCGAATGCTTTTTTTCAGCTCTTTTTTTTCAGAAGCGAAATTCGTGCAGTTACTATGATTATTATAATATTACTATCCTTTTAATATTAACTATGAATAAGCTTGACAAGAGCCTGAAATAATATCTATTATTATTGATTACGGCTTGCTTATGAATAAATAAATAAATAAATAAAATAAATAAATATAGTTGCGATGTCCATTTTTACTTGCAAATATAGATAAAAAATTGTTTCCAATTGAAAATAGTTCATTTCGGGCGCTTCTTTCTACATTCTTCCATGAATCGAGTTGCAGTTTAGCTCAGCTCACGTACTTGCCCTGTTTTAGTACTACCCAATAATGGCAGGTAGCTAAGTAAGTGCGGATTCTTGTTAAAAAATCAAAGACATTTTTTTGTTAAACTTACATAACTTCATTCTTTAACGTATTTTATATTTTGATCGATGACTTTTTGTCATCTTTCAAACAGCACCATAATCTCACGTTCATAAAACTTCTTATTTTTATTAGCAAAAAACTGGGTCAGATACAATTTCACACCATCATCAAAATTCAACTTTTTACCATTTATAGAGTTTTGAAAAGGTCGAAAGTAAACGTAATTAGATAGTGTAAGTTTAAAACTATATTTTCGATGTCTAATAATTTTTGTCAAGCTGCCTTAAGATGTCTGTGGTCGTGCGCTGTCATGATGAAATGTATCATCTTTTCGATTTGTCAATACCAGCCGCATTTTTGAACTGCTTTGTTGGGTAATAAAAGTTCAGAGTCGACGATTTCTTTGCAGTTTATCCAGACTGAGGTCAAAATCTTCTTTTGATGACTTGACGTTGCTTGAGCTGGTTTATCCGCCGTTATATTTTCTGCTTGATATTATTTTAAAGAACCCATTTTTATCGCCAGTTATCAATCCTTTAAAAATGAAAAAAATGGATTGTTCTTAAGCAAATAGCATCAGCTGCTAATGTTGCGTTAACTTTTTAAACATAGCCAAAATTGTTTTAGGTGAATATGTAACTTCTTAAGATGACGATCTATCCGAATTAAGTAATAGATCGTCATCAACTTAAACTGGACAGACAACCAATGCGCTTTTCATCTTTGAGTGAAAAATCCACAAAACGTAATATGGCAAATCAATTAAATTCCAATGAAATTTAAAATTAACATTGTTCAAATTATGTATTTTGGTTTTTCTTAGTTTGATTGAATGATATCAAATATTAAATGTGGAAACATATAAATGAAGAAGTGACAATTATTTTACCTTTTATAATTCGATGAATTGCTTTCTATTTGAATCCAATATAAATTTATATTTACACTTGCTGGGAACCGTTCTCTCAAATCAATATGTTTGGTGCTGAACAATTCTTATCTATGCTGAGCTTTTTCCGAACGGTATTTTCTGAATGTGAATGGAACAAATAGTTATGAAAATTATGTTTTTCACACTTTTCGCAATTCCTAAGAGAAACGTATATCATAATAGTTCTCATTAACGATCTAAAATTTTAATCATTATTTAGGCAATTAAAAGAATATAATTGTTAAAATGAAATCGAATTATTTGAAAGTTTTTGTTTTAATTTATATTAAACTTTTCTTACATTAGAAATCATTAGAATCTTATAATGTAGATTTCGGTTTATATATCTAATGTTACTTTAATTTTTACTTGTTTATAAATGTGCCATTTTTCAGGTATCCGGTAATACTATCAAATGTAGAGAAACTGATTTCAAGGAAGGTCTGTTTAGCATTTAAACAAACTGTCTGTGGATTCGATTTACTAAGGTATGAATAATAGTTTAAATTAATTAACTTTAATAATCAATATTAACTCAAATTAAGAGCCAAAACATTAGCACATAGAATAATATTGATGACATTATTATATGAAAAATAAATTTTTGATTGAGATAATCGTTTGATATTGACTAATTTTGATAAACTTTTTCCGTTACAGGGCAAATGGAAAATCGTTTGTATGTGATGTGAATGGTTTTAGTTTTGTTAAAAATTCGAATAAATATTATGATGATAGTGCCAAAATTTTGGGAAATATGATTTTGCGAGAGTTGGCACCTACGCTGCATATTCCATGGTCAGTGCCATTCCAACTAGATGATCCTCCAATTGTACCCACCACTTTTGGGAAAATGATGGAACTTAGGTAAATATACAATAGTTCACAAAAAGGAATTGATTTTAAATTATACATATTAATATAATATTGTATTTACTAAGTTTTCAGAATTATATTAATTGAAATTACTTTACTATAATACTTTTAACAAACAATTGTGTCTCATACTCATATTCGAATTTTGCCGACGGAACATAATTTTAACTACAAGCTTTTCCAATTGATGATGAGAAACAATAAACGATAACAAATAGTTCTGAACTGATTAAAAATAGTATAGAAAATAGTTTATCATATCTTTTGATTAGATCTTTTCTAAATAAAAATAAATAAATACATTTTTTTTTTTGAAAAGGGTAATGGTATTTTCCTTGTTAAAATGATAACTTTGCTCCGTTGTATACAATTTTTGATATATCTCAGTTACAGTATTGTTGAATCCATTCAAACTAATAGAAGTACATATATTCTTATTATTGTCATTATTACTATTGTCAATTTTTATACACCATTACATTTTATTTCATCTTTTGATCGTTTTCTCTGTTAATCTTTTCAAACCCATTAATGTAAAAGTAAATTAATAAATTTCATTCGTTTTTAAAACTCTTTCTTATAGTTTTAAGTATATTATTAATGTGTTTCTTTTCACTGTCATTTCTGAAAAATTTATCTCATTTTGTCAAGTTTGTTTATTTTGTATCTTCATGAACTAACATCAGTAGTTTTTAAGTTTGTTCTTATTGTTTTGTGTATATTTTTTATGTATGATTTGTTAACATTGTGGTCAAAATTGTTTTTGTATTTTTGGTGCAATGCAGAACATCAAATATGTCCTTGTGTTTTTATTTGTATTTCATAAAGATTAGTGTTTAATTTATTCATCAATTTAGTGGCTTAAAACGTTATTTTTGATTTTGTATTTTCAAAGTGATATGATCTGTTAATTTAAGGTTTGGATAGATTACAAATATACATTATCAAATAATCTTTTAATTAGCTTGCCTTTATATGTATGTATATATATATATATATATATATATATATATATCTATATATATATATATATATATATATATATATATATATTGAGTTTAACATTCGCGGCTTTTTAATGCTAATCGTTCAATTTGAAGCTAAAATTCACTAATTAAACTTTTTCAGATGCGTAGTTGCGGTAATCAGACACGGTGATCGAACTCCTAAACAAAAAATGAAAGTAGAAGTTAGGCATCCTAAGTAAGTATGATCGTTTTTGAAATCGATTTATTAGAAACACGATTTACTAATCTGCTTTTCTGTTTTTTTTCTTAATATTATTAATATTATTTTCTTAATATTATTAGAGTTCCATTTAGTCAATAGATTATATAACTATTAAATGGATAAATATCATCAAAAAAGATCACGCCATATCATTTTGTTTGAACTTCACCTGAACTTCACCTTGCCTGAATTAGAATATTTACATTATTTTGTCTGCTTTTCAGATTCTTTGAAATTTTTGAAAAATATGATGGATATAAGAATGGCCATGTAAAATTAAAACGCCCAAAACAACTTCAAGAAATATTGGATATTGCACGATCTCTTCTATCAAAAATTCAAACCAGGGCGGCGGACGTAGAAATTGAAGAAAAGCAGGGCAAACTGGAACAGCTGAAAAGTGTACTCGAAATGTAAGTGATTAATAATAGTACATTTACGTATTGATATGATAAAATTATGCATAGCTATTATATCTAAAAACAATTTGTCTTGGGCCTATATTTGAAGGAAATATCATATTATAAGTATTAAATAGATGCATTTTTTAAAACTGTCTCACATATAGTTATATGAGAGATACCAGATTTATCATTTGAAACCTACTTTATAGTCGAATCATTTTACAAATTCTACATTATTTTGTTCATGTCACATTTCAATTGGCGTTTTACTATCTTAATTCACCAGTAATATTATTTTCTAGTGTTTTTTTTAAAATATTATATCTTTCAACAATGTTAATTAATACCTATTTTATGTGTGTTATCTTCAAAAACTAATTTGTCCATTTCATGTTTTAGAAAACTTAATAGTTTATTTATATTTTCATTACCATTATTCCCATATATTTTTCAAAAAAGATTGCTATGAACCGCTTTTGAAAATTTGATGCATGCATTAAATTAATCTCTGAGCTCAGCAAGTTGCAAAAACTAAATGTGTTAGTTCCAAGCACTGTGTAAACTATCATATATTAGGAATTTATCATCCGCTAGCAAATATATGATTTATTAGTTCCAATCCTCTTTTATCATGTCTGCTCCTTTTTCTCCGATCATTATTGTCGGTGCGTTTGTATTACCACTGGTGATTTTTGGCATAATACTTGCGTCTATGACACGTAGCCCTTCTATACCACGCACTTTTAATCTCGGATCTACAACTGATGTATAATCATTAATTGCTCCCATTTTTACCGTGCCTACTGGATGGTAATCTGTGGTTCCAATATTTCTTATCAAACACAGCCAAAAGTCATCCGTGAAAAATTCATGTTTACGACAATTTGGTAGGTCTAGTTTTACAAATTCTGCCTTCACTCCTTCCATGCTTTGCGTTTCTAAGAATTTGGTTAAAAATTTAAGAGATTGGAGGGCTACTTCAATATCTTGTGGATGATCCAAATAGTTGGGATAGATTAATGGCTTTTCTGAAGCGTTGCTACTTTTCAATTCAATTTTTCCAGTTGATAAAGGATTTAATATATTTGGCAACATAATCAAAAGATGAGAATCAGAATTCGCACTAAACAACGATTGGCCGGTTTCCTCTAGAAATCCTAACACATTTATAACTAGTGACAAGCTTTGACTATCATTTCTAGGGATGAAAAAACAGTAAATCTGCGAGTTAGGATATATAGAGTTTGAGTCGTAATTGATGTAGCCAGCAATGTTTGTAATACCTATTCCTGATAGAGGTCCATCATGATGAATAAACATTTGGTAAATTTGATCTAAAGTTTGGGCTTGCGAAATTGATTGAGCTGTATTTTCATTTATTTTTATAAAAATAGGTACGAATAAATGGTCTTGCAAATTTTTACCGACTGCTGGTGAATCTACTTTGACGTTAATTCCAAAATCGTTTAAATGCTTTTTTGGTCCAATACCACTCAGCATCAATAATTGCGGCGAATTGACAGTACCACAACTCATGATAACTTCTTTAGTAGCTTTGGCTTGGTAAGTCAGACCGTTTCTTACAAATTCTATACCGACCGCTCTTTGGTTATTGTCTATTATTACTCGGGTCACCAAAGAATGTTTCAACACGAATAAGTTTTTTGGAATTTTGGTCAAAAACGCTTTGGCTGTACTGCATCTTGTTCCTTTATCTAGACATCCTTGCATAAATCCAAAGCCCATTTTTTCACCTGCATTTAAATCAGTGATATTTTTGTAACCTAACTCTTCTGCTGCTTGAAATATCATATTCTTTAGGGGAATGTTATCAAAATAGTTATCTACTGTAAGCCTTCCGCCTGTACTATGATAATGGCCATGGTCAATTGCTAGAATTTGTGGTGCTCTAAGATCCTCTGATTTTTTGAAATACGGTAATACTTCTTCATATGACCAACCGAAGTTACCTAGGTTAGCCCAATTGTCGTAATCTTTTTGATGTCCCCGAATATAGAGCATACCGTTAATGCTGGAAGAGCCGCCCAAAACTTTGCCACGAGGCCAATAGCATCTTTGATTTTTAAATCCTAAACAACATTTGGGATCTGGTTCTGTGTAGTAACCCCAGTCAATTTCAGTTTTTTGCAAGTTGAGAAATAATGATGGTATCTGAAATATAAGAATTGCTGATCAATTTGTATTATCATGGGAAGTACTAAAAGTATCATATCAATGTTAAAAATAAACATAATTAATATACAATTAAAGCGTTTTACAACAAATCTATGGTTCTTTGAAAAATCAATCAAACCAAACAAATATTATGAAAAATATGTATATGCTAGGATATGTAAAGAGATTTATATCAGAATTGTGGCAAGTATTTATTTAGATATATATTTATAATTTCTAAAGTGTAGAAATTATAGAAACGAGTGATAGTACATAGTATATGGATTAAAACTGGGTGCTTTTTGAAATGGATGGTACTTTTTTTTTATTATTTTGATCTATATAACACAGTACACAAAATAATGCTATACATTTCAATTTAGTAGAATTCAGGCGATGTTTTTTTTCAAATTCATACATTATTAAATTGTCTATGCTTCTAATGGAAACTAAAATGCAAAATGATTATTACCTCAGTTGAAATTGTGGGATCGCCTCCGGCTTCTATTAGAAGTATTTTCCAGTTAGAATTTTCACTTAAACGATTAGCAACTACAGAGCCGGCTGATCCTGCTCCGACAATGATAAAGTCGAACACCAAATCATCTGGAAAATAATAATATAAACTAGCTGTAAGTGGAATTCTGTCTTGAGGCAATTATGGCATCGTGCCTTGAGGCAAATTGCTGGAACTTCCCGCACCGTAACGAAATATTCGAGGAATACTGAATGTTTTCAAATAGATTATTATAAATATTGTAACATTGTGTAATATTTATAAGAATTATATAAACCGAATTGCAGAGTTGAAATTATTTGTAAAGTATATTAGAACTATAGTCAGAATTAAAAATAAAATCTGAAATATTTTCGATATACAAAATACTAAGAAAAAAAAAAAAAAAAAATGGAACAAATTTTTTTTTCCAAAATTAATTATTTTGTTAAGACAAGCAGAAAGTTCTTTGAATCATTTAAATCGGACGCTTAGTTCTCTCAAAAACTGCCATTTTTTACATATTTAGCTTTGTATCTTCGAAATGGCTGGGCCTGCCTTTGCCAAAAACTAATAAACACTTCTCCCAATCATTACTAATTGAATGTTTTTTAGATCATTCAAATCGGATACTCCGTTCGCTCAAAAATTCGATTTTTATTTTCTGCACTCTTTGCTCCGTATCTCCGAAACGGCTGGACCTGCCTTTGCCAAAAACTAATCAGCTCTTTTCCCTATCAATAGGAATCGGATGTTTTTTGAACCATTCAAATCGGTTGATCCGTGCGCCCTAAAACGTGACTGGAAATTTGTATCCACACATACATACACACACACACACACACATACACACACACACACACACACACATCCATTTTTTCTGAGGTATGCCAAAACGTTCAGAAACCTTCAAAACGTCGAGAAATGTAAAAATTTTCAATTCCGATTTTCGGCCCATTACAATAACTTACCCTACGGGAAGTTAATTATACAAAATAGGTCAGGTAAAAATAGGTAAAATATAATAAACGAAGTCTGAAGATTCATTTTTAGTATAAAAAATAACTGATGGTGAATGTGGAAGTACGTGGTATATAAGTGAAAGATACAGCTGACGCAAAATATATGGATGGTTTAACCACTGCAAAGCCTATACATTTTTTGGAGCATATTAAGTCATTGTAGGTGCCAGCACTGCCAGCCTAATCTTAAACTGACTTCATTTAAATTGAATCGGCACATTTGAAGATTGAAAGCTTTGATATATTATTACTCTACTTTTAGAGAATCGAGTGAGATTCCAATGGTAGGGTGTCAATACCATATGTAGGTTTTGAGACAACTTTAGGGTGTCAATATACAAGTATTTACAGACTTACAGCTGAGTATCTCGATTTCCGAGGTGAAGTTGCTATAATTACTGGATTATAATTATCGACCTGGATCAAAAATGATTTGACTACTAAAATGACTATTATGATTTAGGGATTTGTAGATTTTTTTTGTTATAATTTATTTTTGTTAATCAAAACAGGATTTGTAGATTGAAGTTGAAAATTAAAAGCTGTAAGTATTTTCTAATTCCGCATTGAAAAAATTTAAATAAAGAAAATTCATCCCAAAATTTAAGGAAAATTGTTAGGGGTGGACAACCCTTGATAAAAATAAATGGATTTAGAAGTAAAATTTAAGCTCCTTCTTAAACTCAAGAAAATCTGTATGAAAAATTAATTAATAACTAAAATAAATATTACGGAATGCCGTGTGAGGTAGAAGGGCAAATTTAGGGCCATATGTGTTTTTGAATTACACAATTTATTTGACTCTGAAGATTTTAAGTGTGGACAACCCTGAATTAAAAATAAGATTTTCTGAAGTTAAATTTAAGCTTTTGTATAAGTTTAAAAAAGTCTTGATGAAAATTCAGTGAAAACCATTTATTGACTGCACGAAGGATGAAAAATTATTTCATTACTTAAATGGTTTTTATGAAATAGGGGTTAGTGATGAAAAAGTAAATATTTAGGGTTGCTTGTATTATTTAAAGCTACATTATAAAAAATTTATAACAACAAAATGCTCAAAAATTAAAAAAAAAATAAGGGGGGACAAACCTTATCAATTAGGCGGTATGATAAATAGATAGTAGTTTATTCTCAGACCTACGGATATATAATTTGGTAAAAATCGATAAAGCCGATGTAAAGATCTATTATTTATTTTAATGTATTTAGAAATTTTCAGATTATTTTAGTTCTGCAAAAAAAATTAATAAGTAAAAAATATATATTTTTTGTAGGAATATTGTTTTATCTTAAGATTAGACTTATCGATATTC